AGACTAGGAGACAAATGACTTAGCAAGTTTAACACCACAGTGATCAAAACAAACATAACTTAATTACCAAAGTTGTAGTGATTCTATAAGGAAAATTGAGTAATGCGGAGTCGACAAAGGATTCCTATAATTATCATTTATATGTATAAACTAGATAGAATAATGTGACAAGTAAAAATAAAGAAAAATTAGTGCATACCAAGTAACCCCTAAATATTATCTAAAAGACATATTACATAAAACCAAGAAAAATAATGATAACATAAAAATGAATGAGGAGATGAGATGCTACCGACTTAAACCTTTCAATATACCACTTGAGAATTCTATTATTATTATTTTTTTAAGCAAGAACGGCTAAACCATAACTAGCAAATGGCCCTCTGATTTTGAACAAAACACCTAGCCCATTTTTGAGTAGAAAAGAGAAATAAAATAAATAATAATAATAATAAAAAAAAGCAAAATAAACAAATACCACACACGAACATATGCATATTTTTTATTTAGTTGGGAATGGTACTAGTTTGAATCAAACATTTAACAATGCATATCGAATCTATCAGACAAAAGGAAAACAAACATAAACAAAGAAGACAAATTCCAATCTTAACACATTTCTTTCATACTCAAACTAAGAAATGACACAATCATAATATCTGGTCACATAGATATTCAACAGTATAAAATCACGGAGGATATGATGCTGAAAGTTAGAAACAAATATAAACAAAAGCCGCTAGATGCAACAACACTCAAACAATTCAGGATGAAGAATACCAAAACTCACACTTAATAGTTTTGCTAGAAGCAAAATTATGGGAATATAAATAGCTAGTAGGTTGATTCATACATTTAGGCTTCATGCAAATATTTAAAAGACTTTGCAAAAATAAAACAAAAAAATAGAATAAAATAAAATAAATAATAATAATAAACAAATAAATAAATATAAAGGGGTCATATTTGCTGTACCTAAGCAGGACAAACTATAATTGAAACACTTAGGACAAAACAAGGCAAATCAACTTCATATAACATTTTTTAAAGATAAAATAAAGGCACAGTAGCTTAAGAATCTGGAACGAGGCTATAGTTCACATGGTTTGGCCTTGGAACACTGACTAATATTTAATACAAAGACCAAAACCTTGCGATATGAGGCAAGGAATATGGCACGGTTCGGTAAATAACAAGGAGACAAACTAAGTAAGCAAAGCAGATTCAACACTTAAGGTAACGGAGACAACAAAGATGCTAATAGTCGACCAAAACAAACAAAGCACTAGGAGTTTCAGCTATATTTTAATAAAACAGTAGCCGAGATTTCAGCAAGAACAAAGAATTTAACTTAACTATCAACCACTTTACATGTAAGGCTAGAATATAACTTAGGAACATATAAACCGAGAGTTTAAAATAGCAAGAGCGAACAGAACAAACTAAGGAAAGAAGTTACCTCCTTCCGGGCAGCGAACAGGGAACAATGAGCTAGTAATGGAGCTTCTTTCAATCACCACAAATGAAAACGCCAACAGAAAATTTGGACAGTAGATGAATGATTCAAATACTTCAACAATACCAACGCTATCCCCCTATATTTTCCTTATTCAATGTTCTGTAATCTTAATTTCTCTGTGTTTCTTTCTAAAGCTAGCCTGATTTTTCCCGACCTTTCCCTCTATATTTTCCTGATAATTTTTCTAACACCAAGATTTCGAACTCCAAAAAAAATAAAAATTCCCCCCCTTCACAGTGAACAACCAAAGAGTATATATAGCAGGGAAATTAGGGCAAAATAGGGGGGAAAACGGATGAAATCTCGGATTCAAAAGGCCCATTTCGAAAATTCAAACCCCAAACCTCTTTCACCAAATAGGGAAGACATACTTTTCTGATATTTTCTCCCCATTCCGAAAGAGGAAAGGGGAGAAACGCGTGCCTGCCGCGACTGGGACGGTCTGAGAGAGACGTTGAAGAAGACGACAAAGGACGCAGTGTACTGCCTGCGTCCTCGCTGCTTTCCGTCTATTTCCCATTTTTTCCATTTGCTGCTCATGTGTTGATGCGTACAGCTGCTGGTTGTCTGTAGTGTTATATGTATATATTGTTGGTTTTGGGTTGGGTCGGGTCTTTTAGGAGTAGGATTGGGAATTGGAGTGGGCTGGGAATTGAAGTGGGTTGGGGCTGTTGTACATGTATGTTGGAAATTGTATTGGGCTGCTGAAAAGTGGCCCAAACTTTGGTCTTAAAATGGTTTTAAGGTGAGGTTAAAGATGGGTTAGATCTTGGAGTTTAAGAGATAGCCGATTGAGTTAAATTAACAAATTCGGCTAAATCCTAAGTGAGATGGATTAACATTAATTAATTAACGAGTTTCTAAATTTTAACGAAATAGAATAATTAATTTAATCGCAAACCAATGATTTAAAGTTATAACCATAACTTGAACTAAACTAATTTTGTAAAATACTTACTAAAATTAAACTCTTTTTGGGACGATTTTTGAACATTCATAAAATATACTAATTAGACACATAATTATATAATAATTAACTTAATTATAAACTAATTAACTCGAAATATAAGTTATTAATTAATTTAAACCAAATAGCCAAATATTTAAATAAAACTAAAATCCTTTTGAGACAATTTTTGAACATTCGTAAAATATACTAATTAGACACATAATTATATAATAATTAACTTAATTATAAACTAACTAATTAACTCAAAATTGCAAACTATTAGATAACTAAGCAAACTAACCAAATATCTAATTAAACAAATCTTTTGAGACGATTTTCCAATATTTATAAAATACACTAATTATATACATAATTGTATAAAAGACATATTATTATTTAAAAATTATAACAAGTGACAAACTATTTGAAACAACTTGCAAATTATTCTATTATATTTTTTTTTTTTGAAATTTCTAAAATTAATTATTCTAAATCATTTGAAAATTAAGAAGCTCGAGATTAATTATTATCGGGGAGGGTCAAAATTAGGTGTCAACAATGATTACCCAATTAAGAATTGAACCTTTATAAATAAGATAAAAATTCAAATAATCAACTAATTAATCTACTAAGATTCCGACCAAGAAAATATTAGAAACTTGTAATAAAAGGTACTAAAAAAAACAGCATTATTAGGTTGATGATAAAGAGAGGAAATCTATGTCAAGCTATAAAAAGTCTATAACTAAAATCGACAAAGCCAATTTAGAAGCTAGCCAGCTGGCATTAATGTGTCCTGTAAACGTGGCACCCAATATTATTTCCCAGTTGGCATATAATTATATTTTTCTTTTCAATTAATTTGGCACCATTTTTATTTTTATATTCTCAAGTTGGCCCTTTTGACTTTTAATCCATTAGGACTATTTTATTCAAACACCACACGCTTTAGCTTACCTTAGTCTTAAGCTATTAAAAAAAACTCAGCACAAATATTAAAGAGATGCTAAAAATAAACAAATCAATGTCAACGCATTTAATTTCTCCTACACCTTCCCCATGAAACCATATAAAAATTAAATAAAACATTTATGAAAATGAAAGTAACAAAAATAGTGAACTATCCACCCAAAGAAGCATCGAATATAAGAGTGTACTTTTTTCCTAAGGGATATTTATAAATAATTTAATTTTAAAATTTTCATTATTTATTTAACTTGAGAATTATAACCACAATGTTATTTTAAAAATATTTTGTGCTCAATTATATATAGGATCATTTAGTAGAGCGTATAAAACTAGTGTTGAATAAAGTATATTAATAATGTTAAAAATATATTTATCACGGTTTGATTTAGAGTATTAAAGACAATTCTATCTTTAATCATGCTTATTATATATTTTCTCCGTTTCTAAATACGTGACATCCTTACTTCACAATATTTTTCATTTTAGAAGATTTAAGACATGGAGTAATTAGTTATTTATTTCAACTTTCATCCTTAGTCATATTAGATATATTAATCTTATGAAAAGAATAAAATATCAACTTGATAGAAGTACTAATAAATAAGAATAAGTTAGTCAAATTACCATCTACTAATGTTTTTCACAATTGTATGAGTAAGGGTAATATCATGATATGTTATGTATGTAGTCATACATAAACTGGAAATTCTATCAAATAAAAGGCTAAAACAATATCGTATCTAATACATCTTATCTAGGGATATTCATAGTTTGGATAGAAATCGATTCAAATCAAAAAGTTAAACTAAATCAATAAAATAAATCAATTTTATATGAGTTTACGTTTTAAATTACCAATAATATTTAGTTTAATTTTACTTTTGTTCAAAAAAACTCAAAAAAATAATCGAACCGATAAATTATATATATACTTTTCTAATTATATATACAAAATATATTTATAAATATCTTATAATATACATTTCATTGATAAAGTTTATTATTTATTTATGAAAGTAGAAAAAATTTAAAAAATATATTTCAAACATTGTATATTTTTTATCACCCTACCTTATGTTTTAATTTTGATGAATGACCAATTCAATTCGATCTATGAACACCCTCTAATCCTATCAAACGATCTATTACATAAATTGGAACAGAGTGAGAGGGAGCAATAAGTACAATAACTAATATTCCTACTTTTTCATGTATCTAAAGTCAACTCCTCTATGCTTTTTTTTTTCTTTTTTCTCTCTCCACTTTTTCCTCAACTTCTTGTGAATTTAAATGCTAAACCCCACAGTACCAATTATAAACTTTCAAATTTCTATCTTCATATTCCTCACTTCTTCTCTCATGGCAGCAGCTTTATTCTCTTCCTAATTATTCACTTTCAATTACTATTTCTCCATAAAAGAAATTGTTAACATCCATTTCCTTGAAGGCATAGTTTCTGTTTCAGTTTGAAATATCTTTATTATTATTATGTGCTTGACAACATGTTAAGCACGAACAACTAGGTAGTTACTGCAAAATCGAAATTCGAAGAATTGTTTGAAAATGGGAAACGGTATTGGAAAATTAAAGTTTTGTTTTGCAGGAGATGTTGGAGAAATATCCAAAAGACGCCATGATATTGGCGTAGACTTAATTGATAGTCTTGATAAAGGATTAGGCCATTCATTTTGTTATATATTGCATGATTCATCATCTAAGAATCAACATTTTCTAGAAGATTCTTCTTCTTCCGCTACTACTACCATCTCCAGTAACAGCAGCAGCACCAGCCAAACAACGGCGTTTCGTACTATTTCCGGTGCTTCTATCTCCGCCAACACCTCTACTACGCCGCTGTCCACCTCCCTCGTCGACGTTTCAAATACTTACATTGAGAAGTCGTCGGCTTTTGAGAGCTCTCAGTGGTTTTCTTCTTTTCCTCTTCAGCCAATTCCCCGGAGATCAATCCACTCTATATGTTCGGGCCCGATTCCCCGAATTTCTAACTCAGGCTCGGGCCCGATCGAGAGGGGATTCCTTTCCGGCCCGATGGAGCGGAGTTTTACTTCTGGCCCGTTGGAGAATCAGTATGATCAGCAGCTACAGAGGTACAAACCTGAGTCTAGTAAATGGGATATAGTTAGGAATTTAAAGAAAGTTTTGTCAATGAATTTGGTTGAGAAGAAGAATAATGGATCTTTGAACAGTTTGTATGAAGATGATGAGAATAATGGATCATTTCGAAGTCGAAATGTGCAATGGGCTCAGGGAAAAGCAGGGGAAGACAGAGTACATGTAGTGATTTCTGAGGAATATGGATGGGTATTTGTTGGGATTTATGATGGTTTTAATGGACCTGATGCTACTGATTTTTTATTGAAAAATCTTTATTCGAATGTATTCAAAGAACTCAAGGGATTGCTATGGAATGACAAGTTAGAATCCTCCGAAAATCTCATGTGCAACGAGACAGTTATCGTTCAAAATCAAGAATTTGATCAATCAAAGATAGCAGGTATTGATCATTTAGATGTGTTGAATGCGTTATCTGAGGCGTTGAGGAGAGCTGAGGCATCATATTTGGAGATAACGGACACGATGGTGAATGAAAACCCCGAGTTAGCCTTAATGGGATCATGTGTTCTAGTGATGTTGATGAAAGGCAATGATGTTTATTTGATGAATGTTGGAGATAGCAGAGCAGTTTTGGCTCAAAATCCTGAACCTGATCGTTCCATTGGTAACTTGGGACAGATAAATGAGGGAAGTCGAAATAGCATTGATACACTCTACAGAGTTGTATCAGACAGAAAACACAGTCTTAGTTCTTGTCAACTCACTATGGACCATAGCACATCTGTTAAAGAGGTACATATCACTTTTAGTCCAAATTTTTTGATATTTTGGTGTTTCATAGACTAATACTCATGTTTGTCTGGTAAATTGTTGCAGGAAGTTCTTAGGATTAGAAGTGAGCATCCTAGTGATACGTCTGCTATTAAAAATGATAGAGTGAAAGGTTCTTTGAACGTCACTCGAGCTTTTGGTGCAGGCTTTCTTAAACAGGTATTCTCAACGTTAACATTACACTTTTCGTGTCTATGATCATAAGTCATAACAAATGCCTAGCATTCTCTTCAATCGAACTTCTTTAAACTCGTTCAATTTAACAAGTTTTCGTGTTAATGTCATTTCTGTTTGTGTGATATTACAGCCTAAATGGAACAATGGACTTCTAGGGGTCTTCAGAATAGACTACGTTGGAAATTCACCGTATATCAATTGTATACCATCATTATACCACCATAGACTTGGCCCAAGAGACAGATTTCTGATCTTATCATCTGATGGACTTTATCAATACTTCACAAATGAAGAAGCAGTCTCTGAAGTTGAGACTTTCATGTCTATATTCCCCGAGGGAGATCCCGCGCAACATCTTGTTGAAGAAGTGTTATTTAGAGCTGCAAAGAAAGCTGGTAAATATCTCTACTTATGAGAATTCTAAGTACTACAATTTCTCATAGAAATCAAACTAAATGACTTTTGTCCTACGATTTCACAGGCATGGACTTCCACGAGTTGCTTGATATACCACAAGGAGATCGTAGGAAGTACCACGATGATGTCTCAATCATCATCATATCATTCGAAGGTAGGATATGGAGATCATCCGTGTAAATCAACCGTATAAAGGAAGCCTTTTGTGTTGGGATATTGTAAGTGACAGACTGGCCTTACTACAACGATCCATTGAGATTCAATCCTTTGGTTCTCTAATTTGCCCCCAAAGATAAAAACGAAAACTTTCGTGCTCTTATCCATACAAAACAATACACTTAGAAAAGTTCAAACTAGTTTTGCTCATTAACATGTTTGTTGCTCAGGGGATTGTAAAGGTGCCAATAAAGTTGCCCTTTTTTCCCTTAAAAAGTAAAAATCTTAGGATATTTGTAACAGAATATTCTGCTCATTGTACATATATTCCTAGGTGTGTCTATCACACAACCTGATACCTCAAATAGACTCGATCTTATTGGTCGAAAATTCGTTTATTTTTCTCCATAGTTTTGGTCTAGTTTCAGATTATTCAAATCTTGTACTTGCTTTTTTGAACATATTATAACTTATCCAAGAAGAATCTGCAGGACGAATCAATATGACAGGACAGTGTATATGGCATAATGCTTTAAAGCAAATTGAATTGACAAGAGGGAATGGTTGACATAAATTTGAATTGCTTGTGGAATTCTTTTGCCACTCTTTATTATCCATATGTTGTTTGGGTGTGTGTGCGGGGTTGGGGGTGGGTGGGGTGGGGTGGGGGGTGGGGGCGTAATATAAATTTCAAAATATAGAACAATTAGTAAATGTTGGTGGAAGCTTGAACTATACTACTGATTTTGTCTTCCATTTCAAACAGCTTCTTGCTTTACTTTTGCTAATTGTTTAATCATGAATCATCCTAGTAGACCAAAACCTGCCCAATATATATTGGTCATCAATGAATATGAAGCGGATGAAAATCACGAGAGATCAATAATAATAGAATTACATTTTTCATTAATGAAAATCAAAATATAAAAAGGTATCTACACATATTCTTAAGGACATTCAAGAGAAAAGTAAATTGATTCCTCTTGGAGGCTCAGGTAAGTGTGACTTCGCCCTTGGAGATCAGAGTTCAAATATTAGCGTAGACAAAAATAATAATAGGTGATTATTTTTTATATGTGGAAGCTTTAATGGACAAAATTATGTAATAGTTATAATCAGCGGCCGAGTTAGAAATTCATCCCAAAGAAACTCAAAATTTATATGTACGTAATTTTTTTTTGTATAATTTTACGACGAAAGAGCTTAAATACTCTTATACTTTTATGCTTTCACCCTTGACTATGCTAATAAAAGGTCGTAGATGCAATCTAAATAATCTAAGATATGTGTAAACTAAAGCAACAATATTTTGTTATAAATAAAATAATTGGTCATCACCAATTTGGTTATTATGTTGGGAACTTTGAATTGAAATTAAATATGAAAAGACAATTTTATTTTTTTAAATTTATTTTGAAAGGTCTAGAAAGATCATTAGAGTAAATGCTCTTGGAATTCAAATTTGAAGATCCACTAGAATTCTCCAGTTTAAGAAGACTTTCATTACTACTTAATCCTCTATTACTACTTAAATGGAAAGTTGTTGGCTGAAAATGGAGATAGTCAATTAATCTCATGATGATTGTCACAAAATAAATAAATAAATTAAGCTCATGATTTTTAATAAACACAGTCAATTAAGCTCTTGATTTTCAATAAACCTACGCGTTTTCTTTTGTTAATCCAATCCACTAATAGCAAGAGAAAATAAAATAAAAGAGCCATATAAGTCATAGTTTGTGACATATGAAATATTAAGAAAGTAGGTGCATATTGATCTAGCTAGAAAAAACATAAATAGTAGTACCTGATATGTTTGTAAAATATTTCCCCCTCTATATTAATGGTCTATTTTCCTTTTTAGGCGTCTTTTAAGAAATTATAAATAAAAATAAATTTTTTATTAATTTGAATATTTCTTTTTTGGAATATTACAAACTTGTTTTACGCTTTCAAAAGAAGAAATAATCATAACTCATAAGGATAAAAATGGAATTTTAAAAATTAATTCTATCTTAATTTTATAAATTAACAAGTAATTTGGAAAAATTATTAATAGAAAGTAGATAATTAATATGTGACGGAGGAAATAATTGTTATATATACTAAAAATATTTGTCAATTTAAAAAATTAAGAGAGAATCAATTATTATTTTCTACCTTTGTCCTTGATATTAATTATTCTAGAATTAAATAACATGTAAATAGGTAAAGATCAAAGATTTTTTCTCATTGTTTACTTTTACTTGTCGGCTATTTCAAAAATAAATGTTCACTTTTACTTGTCACATTTAAACATGGCAAGAAAAAATAATTAATTTTTCATGTTTTACTCGTAATATTAATTACTTAATTTGCATTTTTTTTCAAGACCTAATACTAAACATCAATTTATAATAAAAATATTATGATAAAATTCTCATATCAATAATTATTTCTTAAGACCGTGTAAAGTAAACAAGTAAAACAAAATAAAAAATAAAATAAAAAGTATATTAATCAAATTAAATTTCTAATTAATTTTTTTATAAAAGCCGCGCAAAACCTTGTTTCTAATAACTAAATGGCAAATTGGGGATGCAGGGAATACAAGTATGGAGGACTAGTTCACACAAAACTAAGAAAGAAACAAATCAGATGGAAGTGGTTGTTATATTTGTATTAAAGTAGGATAAAACTTAAACTTGTGATGGAGCGTTTTATATTGGTGAGAAAGTTATTTATAACAAAGACGATTCTATATTCAGGGAACTTAAACTCAAGAGTCAAGACGTCTGATTAAGGAGGATGACTTGTTCACACAAATCTAAAAAAGAAACAAATAAACTAGAAGTGTTTTTTTTAGTGTTTCAGTATTCGCATCGAAGTCTAATTAAATTTGAATTTGCGTCAAAACGTCCCACATTAGGGAGTAAAGTACTTCCTAACAAAGATAACTTCATATCCAAGGTGCTCAAACTAGAAACTCTGATTAAGAATGAATAGATACTTATCACACCACTATAATCCTGATTGATTTATGTGAAAGTAGTTGACCCAAAGGCCGAAGCTACCAGACAAAAAACTTAAGTAATTACTAATTTGCCAATATTGCTTTTTACAAATTTTAAAAATAAAAAATGGATGGTTGGTTAGTTTTTTGATAATATAAATGAGACGATGGTCGAGTGTTGTGGTAAGATAAAAAAATATTTTCGCCATTAATTAGATGTATCATTTTGAATACTGGGAATAAAATTTTTGGTAGGGACCCTTCTAGTGAAAAATCTGTGGATTTTTTTTTTTGGAATGACTATTTAGTAAATAGGCATCTTTTTATTTCTTTGTAACTTATGAACTTTTTAAATTACGATTTAAATATATATTTTTTATCAAACAAAAAAAATATTAGATGACCATCTAAAATTTGTAAGTTATTACAAATGTTATATGATAGTCTAATATTTTATTGGTAAGGTACTTGAATAATATATGAACAAATATTAAATTTGAGTTTAATATTAACTGAAAAAGTAGTTTCTCTAAAATTATATTTGCACAACTTTTAACCCTAGGACAAAATCTAAATAATCACTAAAAAAGTGTAAATCAGTCTCTCACGAAATTTTTGCCCGAAAAAAATCCAAATTAATTGAGATACTAATTTTTTAATATCGAAATCCAAATAATCGAACCATAAAGGAAAATCATGAGATCCATGAACATGGAGGGGAAAATCAGCTACGTGAAACGTAATTAAGATTAATTTATTGTACAAAGTTACTTGTGGTTTTGGCAAACTCTAATTATATCTAGTGAACTTATTAATTCATAAAGTTAATTTTTTTTAAAAAGTCAAACATTGAAATAAATGAACTAATTAGATGTTCAAAGTATAGAAGAGTTGGTTTTGATTTTTGGACTATCAACATCACTCACTTGAAAATACTTTTGCTGGTTAACATACTAGCAGAGTGATGGTGATGGTTATTTCACTTATAAAAAAGTTTAAAGATAAAAAGAACAAAAATTCTTTTATAAAAGTTACAATTATATTATATGCTATTTTGGAGAATTTTAATAACTCAATTAGTTGATAATATCTTAAATTTTCATTTTATTGATGCAAGTTCAATTCTCCATTTTATAATTTCCTACTCATAATTCTTTTTTAAAATAAAATTATTTGTTTTAAGTGTTCCTAATTGATCCCTAATTTCAGGTGGATGGTCGGAAATTTGACTGAGTTTATGGTTGAAATTTGTGAACTCCTTAAACATTTGAAAATTGAAATTATGAGTACATAATCTAGAATTTATTATATTTATATTCTATGTCGAAAATATTCAATTTGATTCACTATTAAAAGATTACCATTTGTCCTTGAAAAATGTCCAGTGACTATATTCACATATATTTTGATTGAGTAGGATTCAGAACATAAAATAGTAATATTTTCGTATAAAAAAATTTAAAAGTTTCCTACCATGCATTTTCCCATGTTGAGATGGTTCGATGGAAAATGAATGAAATTTTATTTTACTGGTTTGCCGTAGAAAAATCCTTGTTTCTAGTAGTGGTTGAACTTAACAATACCATTCTCCATTCGTACCGAGTGAAAATAAAAATAAAAATAAAAATGCCAGATTAAAAGGAATTAAGATTTTAATCATACCATTTGAGCTTAATTTATTGGCATAAATTGCACAAAATGCACACTACTAAGTACTATCAATTGATACTAAACAAAATGTAGAACAATTATTAAAATTAAAAGGTATTTACAAGTATTTTATTTTATTTTCACAATGAACGACAAAAGTTTTATTCACTCATTGAGATTCTCCAAATAAAAAAGATTCCACTTCTCCTATTCAACATGTTTTTTTTTTTGGGTTTATATACAAAATTAGTGAATCAAATCAAAGACAATTTCTTGGTAAAAGGATTGGATTATTTTGGATTTGTTAAATTGCAAATTGCAAATTCCAAAGTCAGACTATACATATTTTGTGTTTAGAGAATTTTTAATTGGTTAATGTAGCTTCAAATTAAAAGATTAGAAGAACAAAATCTGTCATCCACTTTCTAGAAGATCAAATCAACTCCTAAAATATTTGCACTTGCTGTCTTAGCATTTACTTTATATTTATATAGACAAAATCACACCATATATGTATTTAATTTATATTCAAAGTAGCGCATGGCATTGACAATTTGACATAGTTTTACCTATACCAATATCATAATTAGTGTCACCAAATCAATTAATGAAAATTTGTGTTATAATACATGATTTTTTCATTTCAGTCCTTCAAACCAGCTCATTAATTGGGAAAACACATGGTGAAAAACATATTCTTTTGCGATACCGGAAAAAACCACTGAATATTTTTTTCTTTTCTCATTGATTCAATTGAAATATCTATGCGACTAACAGCTGAACATTTTTTTATGCGAAATTTCAATAGGAAAATATTTATTTATTTAGTAGTGTAAATTCCATCCAAGATGCAAAAAAACATTAATTTTGGAGAAAAACTCGTTCCTGTTTTGGGAGATCCAATCCTTTTGTCTATTTTGACCCACAAATTAAAATTAAAAACTTCGATTGAGATTATAGAGTAAAAATTTCACTTCCTTATTTGGATACTGTTATTTAACCTATACTCAATTTTTAATTTTATTTTTTTCGTCTATCCACTTTAAAACAAATCAAGGTATGCGGTGTTTGAAATTACATATTGCATGAATTTCATATAAAATGGTTAAAGTAAGTAAAATCGTTAAACTTCAATCTTATGTACATGAACTTCAAATATATGAAACGATATAGAATTTGTTCGAAGTTATTCCGAAATGGGTATACGAACACTTCAGCCGATTACAGAGTAATGTTCCATTCACAAGAGGTGAATCGATAAATAACTTATAGTCACTAGTAAAAAATGGTCGTCTGTTTTTTTTTTTTTTTTTTTTAGATAAAACAGCAAAATCTTTGTATCTTAAACTTTATTATAGAGAGACATTTATTTAACTTAATCATGGTTAATTGATTAGAATATATAAATAAAATATATCATGCATTTTTAATTTAGTGTATACACTACGTGCATCTTGAGTCTTTTTCAGTTTTACAATGATCTTTGGTACTAACCTTAAGCAGATTATTGGACTCCCATAAAAAATATAGAGCAAGGAGAAATGAAAAAAAATAAAAAAGATAAATAATCACATTACCTTGCTTGTATTTCTGCAGAATTTAAGTAAATACGAATCGATCTCTCTCGAATAATTCTGGAAATGTTTGATGCTGGGAATTTATACAAAAAAAAAGAGAGAAAGAGAAAGGTGTAAAAACCTATAATCTGAAGAAAAAAAAATATTTATGTAAATGAACTCTGGCAAAAAAGAAGCTAAAGGAACAGCAGTTTGAAGTTTGAAATGAAGTTGTTGATCTCAAAAGGGAAAAAATGGTTACAGATAAACTCCAGACTAAAATTATGGCAAATGAGGTTCACTATTAACCGTTGATTCCAGAATGCTCGATTGCTCAATATGTAGAGAAAAAACAAGAATACTCTGGCTGCATACCTTCATGTTGTCTGCCTGAATTATAGTTTCTCATATTTGCATAAAAATGTGCCACAAAGTACGGTTAAATGGAGAGCATAACATAAGATATCAGTAAACCTGCAGCAACCGGCCTGTCATCCTTGAGTAAAATTCATGTGATAGCAAGTAGGATTGCATGGAAATGGACAATCAATATGTTTTGCCTCTTCTCGGTTGAAATACCAGTCTCCTACAGCCTCTGCAATTGTCTGCTCAATGATTCGGAGAACAATCATCAGTTACAGTTAGTGAAGTTAATGAAGACATGTGTGTATATATTGAGCTTTGGAAAGATTTTTTCATTTCTAATGAATGAAAGCCAGAAGCTTAATTGAGAAATATTCCTCCCATTTCTCAGCTCGTATTGAGTTCAACAGTTTAAGCTCAAAGATATTCCCAAATTGCGAAAAAGAATTAGACAAGGCAGACATCTACTGCATCGGGTTTTAGATTTCTGCTTGTATGCTATTTTTCTTTCAAGAGGAATAACTCTCAACCATGGGCTTTAGGAATGCGACATGACTAGTCTTGAGTAATAGCTCTCCTTAATATTAGAATAGATGGCACCGTGCAGTCAATGGTACCGCCCTAAATGTGACGAGCCAACATGCTATTAATGAAAGCAAGAAAGTTGATTTGCCACATTTTCTTAGAGATGGTTTCTTGATATAACATATATGTGGTCTCAGAAACAGAGAAAACACTGGAGAAGATATTGATATAGTCTGAAGAAAAAATTGGTGTGAGCTTGTCCTATTCTACTATTTGGTACAAAGCAATCCCGAAATGAACTAGCATGATGAGATCTTTAAGAGAAATTAGAATTAAATTATTCTAGCCCAATAACAACAATAACATACTCAATGTGATCCTAATCAAATATTCTTTATGTCAAGTTCAAACCTAAGATAATTCCTCAAGAAGGCTTTGAAGCAAACTATTAAGCGAAAATCCCACTGTTTATGGTTACATCTGGAGTAAAATATTAGCATAATTGACCTTTAGAAAGATCTAACTTAAGCTTTTAGGTCAAACTGCGCATTAAGTTAGATGTTTTCAACTTTTTGAGCGTCTCTTACTTTGGTTTCTAAAGATTTTAGTTTTCACAAACCATTATGTTTTCACTGTTGGTGAATGGGTAAAAAGGATGGATCACAGGTGCAAACAGTTAGTAATTACTTTCGCATCTACCAACCGCTTATCCATCTTGCTATCTCTAACTCTTAGGTGTATGGTGAACATGGGGTCTAATTTATCTATAACATTATGTGTAACTTACTAAAAGCTATGCTGATAAAATTAGAACCACCTTCAGACCATAGATGGAATATAAAGTGAAAAGCTTACTTTGTTATTGATTTTTGGAGAACGAGGAGAATGCCATGTCTCAGTCACCCATGTTTGGCAATGTATAAAGCAAGAATTTATGAACATGCCTCCTTCAGGATTTTTGTGAAATCCATCAAGCGTTTTGAGCAAAGAATTTCGGAAATCTGTAGATAATGAATAATTTCATAAGGTGACAACATAGCAAGCATGCAAGCATCCTAATCCCTGGACTCCTCACATGAAAAGCCTGGTAGCGATAAGCCGATAACTACAATTGCTGTTTTTAGATGCAAGTATTCACCTTGCAGGACTTCAAGCTGTTTGGAATTACAGTTGTTAATATTTAGCTTGCATCTGAACCAACTTCGATGTGGATCTGATGAACGAGGTACCAAGATGTTTTGTATCTGCAAGTATGAACATTAAGTTAGTAGAGCATTAAGAAAGAAAAAATATTAACTAGAAGCTGAAACAACATGGAACAAAAACTTACTTGCCAAAAATCATATCCTGGTTGAACAAGGAAAACAGGGGTCTTTATGTTGCTTATAAATTCTTGAGGGAAAAAACACTGAGGATGAAGCCAACATAAAATCACAATAGAGAAAAGGTGAATTGCAGAAGAAACTAAGTTAGTATCTCGAATATAAATGAAGAAAGGGCACCTTGTAGGGTTTCAATCTTGATGTGCAATCCTTCTTTAAGCTTTTTGCCACACCCTGAGAATGATCGAATTGCAATCAGGTTTGAGTGAGAAATTAGAACAAATGCAATCAAGAAACAGGGTACACAAATAAATAGTTGATAACTACAATAGTTGGAAATTGCAATTAGAAAAATCAGGTTCATAGGTAGCTAATTCATAAACATTGTAATTTGTTCAAGCAGCACTTGAGAAATTATATCATTGATTAGTAACAACTAACAAGTAACAACATTTTGTTGATCAAGCAGGAAATACAGCAGAAACATTGTTCCATCACATCTACAGAGAACCAATAAGAAGAAAACTAAATCACCATTCATATTCATGTGTTGTACAACTGATGAGGGAAAATATCTTTTTCCCCTTTCCTCACAGAAGTAAAACATATGGTTCAGAAGTAGAAATCGAGTGGCATCAGGTTTCAAGCTACATTTACTCATTAATGGTCCGGTGACCCAGTCCTTCCCTGGACCTGAGCATAGCAGGAGCTAAGTGCACCGGGCAGCCCCTTTTTATATAAATCTTAGGACCTTCATAACTCTTAGTAGAATGTACCATGTACAAAACTTATCATATACATTACAAACAGTTAGTAGGACAAACAATTTAGTTACAGACTCTCATTTAGACCTCTCAAAATTCTGATCCAACAATATCCATTTGCACCATAAAAATGCATAAATACCACTTCTAATTTTCTATTCCATGATTCTTTTTTCTATTGGTCCATATGCAACAATTATGAAATCAAACTGTTTCATCAATTCCCTTCCAAGCTGAATTGTTTTTTCCTCATATGTTTACGCCAATAATTTCTCCATCAACATCTAATTACACCTGAAGGATCATTCATCACATCGGTAATGACCAGATTCTAAAAAGAAGAAAGGATAAATATGTTGAGACAACCGATCACAAACACAGAACAAAAGCACGCAAACACACCAAAAAAAGTAGCTTCTGAAGTATTAGGAAAAACCTGGAGGTTAACAACATCTTGATAAAATCGCTCAATGGTGGGACTTCCAGCAACGTCCTTTCTGAAATAGTGAAAGCAATAATAGACTTATAGTTGATTCAAATTTGGACTACACGCGCAAGAAACCTAACAGTTCTTAGAATGGGTACACCTCTGCTTTATTGGGAATGAAATTTTCAATCTCATTTTATATATCTTAATGCAAACTTTTCGACAAAAAGAATCTTTCTCAATATTTGATTAGAGTCTTAATTTAAAGGAAAATGTGTCCCTTTTGCACAAAATGATCAACATACCAAGATGTTCCATAGTTTCCTCCTGCCCCAGTGAGTCATGTATTTTCTTCATTGAAATTTTATCAACTATTGCAGTATGAGATTCCGATTATTATGGTGATCCAGTCCTCGCCTATTAAAAAGTTTTTAGCATGAGTGTTTACACCTTTAATTAAACTTATTTTCAGTTGTTTGCATATTAGCTCATTCAGTATTTCACCTTCCACCCTTTTCTGGCTATCTTCGGGAGTACTATTTAAGAGCTTAAAACTATTTTTATAAAAATAAAATGAAATTGGGGTAGGGGAAGGGGAAAATGGGAGAGGATTGAATCGAACCCTCACAAACAAGGTGGGAGTTCAAGTAGCCAACCAACTTAGCTATTATGATTCCCCAAAAGCTTAAACCTATGTGCATATGTATATACCTAATTTTTAGAAGTAGGATTGGTACTTATTATTTATTTTTTCAGTTGCAGGCATATTAGCTCATTCATTAGCTAACATTTCATGATTTCCTCGCTATGTTTTACAATGTATAACTAAAGAATTGACTAATACCATCAAGTTTCTTCCCTTAAATTTCTCCTATATGTGTAGATTATATTCCAGAAATCACATTCTAGATTTGAAATTATACCTGCTTCCAAGAACAGGTATATCAAGCATGTTTGAGAGTCAAGATCCAGAAATAGATATATTAGTGATTGGAGCTTTAATATGCATAGTGTTATCTAGGAGACATACTCATTAAGGAAAAAACCTGCATCAACAAGGCACTTGACATTGGCATCCTTGGGTAAAATCTCTCGAAAGTCATCGCAGTGTATGAGAGTTGCCAGACCTCCAGCGGAACATCCCGAAAGAAGTGCCTGCAAAGTTAGGCATAAAAAGTTGCAAGTCTTGGACTTAGGTGACCAGGTCCAGTATTCCAATAAAAGCAATAACAACCTCTTTTTCTAAAGAAGAAAAAGAAGTGATCACCTCTTAGTGCACTTAGAAAGATACAATATATTGATTAGAACTATAAATTCAGAATGGTGTAACTTTTCAAATTGAGTATCTGTTAGTTTTTACAATACATACTACAGAACAAACGAAAGAAATTCACTGAAAAAATTAGGGCGAGGGGCAGAGCAAAATGTTTTATATAACTGAGAATTGAAAAAACCAAAAATTCAATGAGACAAAGCAAAAAAGAATACCTTTTTAGCATTAGAAAGTCCTATTGACAAGAGTTCATCCATTACTGCTTCCCAAATAACCTGGCCTCTGAAAAAGAATTCTGTTCCATTCTGCCATAAATCAATAGATAACATAGGTACTCAATTCTTTCTTTGCCTTCTTTCCCTCATCTTCTTGATGGATGTCATGGAAAAACACAACATTCATAGTCTTTAATAAACGCTCCATGAACTTACTTTAAATTCACTGTCTGGGTGTCCAGAAAAGGATCCACCATCGCAATAGCGTATCTTGACTTTGTTCCAGTCGAAGAAATCTGAATAAAGTCAAATTGGCCAAACAAGAACATATGATCCCTTAATGAAGCAGATTTTCATTTAAAAACAAAAATAAGTCAATTATTGGTACCTACTTTTTGTCAAAAGTGATACTAGTCTCATCAACAAATACGAAAAGAAAAACTATGTGGATTAACAGTCAAAAAGGAAATGTGTTCAAGTAAGTTCCTATTATTCCTCTTGGAAAACATGAACTTTTGTAGATGGTTAATTCATTGGCAACAGAAAAATATAAAATGATGAGCTATCAATGTGTACTTACAAACTTGATGTCTTCGTTTGGTACATAAAACTGCTGGAGGATCCAAACTTTAAGATAACACAATTATAAGCATAATGAAAATTTGTAGCAAGATTATAATGATAACAATTATTGAACACACTATATCAAGGAGTCAAGTCTTTTTTTCTTTTTGAGGGTTCAATAAAGGGATCAAGAAGATGCTAACAGATCCACAAGGGATTAAAAATGGTAGAGTTAGCTACAATAAAAATCAGCTAGGCTATGCGAATTGCTCATGGAGCTAACAAAATCTGATAACTGAACTGAAGGAGTCAATTCTTTTTTATTTTCGATAAATATCAAGAGAGTAATACTTAAATCACCATTAGAGTTGCTTACCCGGATTTTGTGATGGGTCAGAGCTCAAAATCCCAAAAAACTGAACTTCATGCTCCATGAACCTCGAGGAGCCCAACTTTGTTGTCTGGCGAAAAGAACATGTTTCTATTGAGTTACACCAGCCTCCACCCTGCAATGCAAGATCAACACAAAAACATAGTCAACAAAGAAAAGGGAAAGGGCAAACTAGAATATTGACGTATCACATCTGCAGGCTAATGTTGTGTGCATGGCCACTACTTTGGCCTTATCTAAGCTCAACATAACAAAAGCTAGAGAACATGTCCCTTAACTTATGGCTGGATTTTTCTTTTTTCATGAGAATGTTTTTTGTTTGTGGGAATGATATGACTCGAACCCAATACCTCTACCTATTCGGATACTATGTTGAAGTGTATTACCACTCTATTAAGGAATTTAAGAATTACAAGAGACATGTTTTATTTTAGCGAGCAACATGATGAAGTTATGTGGCACACAATGTTTGAAGCAAAAATAGAACATAAAATCCAACCATTTTAACCAATATAGGTCCATACTCCATAGGACTATCAAACCATGAACCCGACCGCCTTAACCTTCTTTTATTTGTACAAAAACCACAAAAGCACTGTTTTCTGAAAAGTATACAGTTCCCTTTATCCCCATAATCAAGCTCAGAAGCCAACACAGAAAATGTACATCTCAATGAACAATATCCTATCTTCCAAACCAGTGACCTCAACCCACCTCTTGCATATGTCCTTTAGCTCATGTAAAATCAAATTCCTCATAAAATTCAACATCCTCATTGTATCCAAGGTCATCTTCAAAACCAATACTCAGATACTTGTCAACCCATCAACAAGTCCTCACAAGACTTCACAAGAAACATTTTAGCTCCTCCAAACACAAAATGAGCAACAACTATTAACTCAGGCACTGACTCATCACCCAATTTAACATGCACCCCCTCCCAGTATTATCAACAGCATAAAAGTTCCCATCTTTGAGAATAACATCATTCTAAGGTAAAGAAAAGTCATCAACAATAGACCACTTTGTATCACCAGATCTATATGACTGTTTGCAACACTATGACCAATTTCTCATAAACATGAACAGTCTATAGAGTACACACCATCTTTTTTCAAACACTCTGTGACTTTTTCCAAGTAAGACGGGTCGAATTCATGGATCGAATAGTCCTATATTGGCTGAAACGATCGGGTTTTATGATTTTTATTCTTTTGGATTCAAACATTGTGTGTCACATCATTAAATTGTTACTGGAAATACATTTTCCGGCTAAGAGAATATTTGGTCTGATATAGTAATAGTAAAGTGACATTTCTGTTAACAAAAAAAAAAAAAAAAACTCTGCACACCATTTCGAATAGTTGATCACTTTTTCCTTTACCAAAAAAGAAAATGACTTAGTTAACTCATTGCAAAGTAGAGAGACAGTTTCGGATAGACCTTCGGATCTAAAGAAAAGTTTTTGAAGCAAGAAAAATACGATAGCAAAATAGCAAGATACAAAACACATTCCAACAATTGATCAACTCAGTAAATAAGACATAGAAGCTAACCTCAATGTGAAGAACCCATTTATCAGACCCAGATCCAAAACCCTTCTGCAAATGATACCCAGGTAAGCTTCCATCTAAACAAACTGCAAAAAAATCACAAAAAAATAAATAAAAATAATCCATTCAATTTGAACTGCTCACATACCCAATTACACTACAAAAGTTAAATCTAACAAATTGAAGTCAACGAAACAAAATCTATAAGAGAAAATTACAGGCAGATTTTTGTTGGGCATTGCTTAAAGGGGTAAAGGGTATCAAATCGCTAGGAGGAGTCATTGAATTATTAGAGTATCTGTTAGAGTGAGTGATGAAGGAAAGTGTAAAAAATAGAATAGACAATGAAGCTGCTGCAATAGTCCACTCTCTTCTTGTCAATTTTCGCCACCATTTTAGGCTTTGAAATCTATGATTCGCCATTTTTTATTTGGGATCAATAGATTTTGGTACTGAACATTAGTTGCTTATTGTCTTTTCTTTTGTTGCTTGGGCTTGGGTAGGTGAAACAGACTATAAAATGGGCAACTGACTTTTAAAATTTTAATTTGCACAATCATCTCAACTCGGTGCGATTTATTAGTTTCATTTTTAAACTATCTACGTCTTAAAATTATTTCTTTATTTATTTAGTTGGATTTAAATACATCTTCGATCTTGTAACATGAGTGAAATACATTCTTAAATTTTTGTCAAGTTTAGGGATGTTTTCAATGCGTCTTTCGACTTTTTATTAAGAGTCTCATACTCTTACAAGAATTTGAGACCACTTGTTATGTCATGTGTTAAATCGGGGTGTATCTAAGTTTAATTAGTCAAGTAGAAGAGTGTTTTTAAGATTGTCAATAATTTGGGAACAATGTCACGCCCTGAACCTACACCCTGGACGTGGCCGACACTCGAAGACCATTGCTGGCCTCAAGCGAACCCTTAGCCTAACTTACTAACTCAGCGGAAGACTTAACTCATCATATACCCATTTAAGAAGTAACTAGAATGTTATAAAGGAACATTCAACTGGCCATTAAGGCAAACTCAAGTCTTTAACATATGAAATGAAAAGTAAAGACAACTGAATTAACTAACTGACTGTCTTACTATCTATGAAGCCTTTAAACAACTGAGATGGATGTCGGGACAGGCCCATGACATCCTAATGAACTAATACTAAAACTGAAAGCAATGTAAATGAGTCATCTGGAATGCAAAGAGGCTCACCAACATACTTTAAACTGCTCACTGGATCAACAAATGCGCCGGATGCCGATCCTAGTTACATGTGTTTGCATCATAATACGATGCAGGCCAACTGACATCAGTACATTGAATGTACGAGTATGCGAGTTGGAATGCTTAAACAACATAGACTCGAAAGAGATTATGAAAGAAACACTTACCTTGGCTCTTCTAAACTCTTGAATACTTAAATAAACTTATTTCATTATAAAATAGTTTTAAACAAGCGCAATATAAAGAAAACTGTTGAAAACATGTTGTCAATTCATAATCATAATATCATAAAAAGACAAACCATGCTCCCTCTCAAAGTCTACTTGTGCAATGCATGAATGAATTCCCATACCCCCCATTCACACTAAGCAGAACCCCTTGAGGAACCATGCTACTACTGGTGTGGGAGTTTCTCTAACCGACAACCATCACTTAAGAACTATAGTGATGATACAACGTTTTACCTCACGCTGCCGAGGCCCATCCTATACGTTGCCATGATATAGGAAGCTAACTCACTAAGTGGATCCACTAGTCTATGCGAAAAGGATTCATCTAAAAAGTATGACCCTTTTCTACCCATGATGGCTACATGGTTTATGGAGACTTGAGTTAATATGAACTCGCATCCCCATATCGGTGCTCAATACTACTCCCAAAAATATACTTAGTTCTTTATGTTTAAAAACATACTTCTTCTGTGATTTGAGATTAGTGCTCAAAAACTTAGCTCAAAGGCTATCTTGGAAATCTCAGTTTTCCTGCTCTCTTCATTTAGAAAGCTATTTCTTTTTTCTGAAAATTAGCCCGAAGGCTCTTTGAAAAATCATAGTTCTTTTCTTACTCAAATGTGAAAACATTTATAAACTTCTTTAGGAATACTTAGTTCCCTAATAATTTTTGAGAAATGAACTCAACTCTTTACTCTTTACTTTACTTGAAACTTGAGCCTTAAAACGAAATTTAAACGTTTAATAAAAACTCTTGAAAACTATAAGTAACTTTGTTTTGACTTGCTTCTTAACTTCTAGACTTGACTCTTAACTTCTTTGACTTTGATCTTAGATTTCCTTGAATTGGATTATGGATTCAAGGTTCATGATCTCATGTGTATGGATGATTTCATGATGTTTAGATGTACCTTAGAGTGTTGGAATAAACTAGAAAACATAGGTACATCGCTTAGGAACAAATACAAAAAGGTGGGGAACGAATGGGGAGAACTGGCGTCCCTGGCGCTCTGAGAGGCGCGGGGCGCCAACCCTCAAACTTCAGAGAAGTCTGGCTAGTGCGACACGCCAAAGGCCAAACTTCAGAGAAGTTTTTATAGCGCTCTGGCAGGCGCGGCGCCCCAGCCCTTTTGCCCAGCAACTTTCGACTTTTCTCTTCCGTTCTTCCTCTCTAAACCTCCCTAACTTCCATAGTTCCTTCCCCAAACACTTAGGATCAATTGTACCCTCAATATACAACCAATCTAACTCGAAAAACAACTCGAAAACATGAATCAACTCACCCCCAAGCATCAACAACTCAACCAACAAGAATTCTACAATTTGTTCTTCAAGAACCTTACTTCTTCAACATGTAAACAACTCAAAACAATTGGATTGAAACAAGTTGGTGTGTGGGTGAACTAATCCAACACGAAAAGATCTCACATACCTTGTAGGGATCACCCCCGACGAATTCCACAAGTTAAACTTCGACGATCTTGGCGATTCTTCTTCTTTCTCCTCTTCTTTTCTCTTCTCTCAAAACCCTAACCCTTCTTCCAAAAGCGTAAACTGATCTAATTCAGCTTAGGCCCCTAATTAATTACAAAAAACCGAATTAAAATAAAAGGGTAAGAAAAAGACCAAACTACCCTTTAAAAATCCGGATTGGACTTTTCTTATTCTAACAGCCCAACTTCCAAAGGGCATAACCCACTCATACGAACTCGGATTTCCGCAAACTCGGCGGCGTTGGAAAGATCCTTCCAAGAGCTTTGCAACCATATCTGGAAGTACACCTAACTCATCCTGAGCTAGGAATTATGGCCGTTTGAAGTTGATCAAAACTCAACTTTTCCTTGACAAATTTCCAGATTTTTAATTCTTTCCAAAAATGACTATTTCCAATTATAAGCTGCTTCCTAGTTATTTCAAATTGCGAGATGTTACAAACAAAACTAACAATTTGTGTCAACTTCAAGAGTGTTTTCATTACTTCTTTTAATTTTTATAAACTTATATTCCCTCTGTTTCAATATTATGGTCTTAAATTAAGGATATTAGAATCTTTCAAAATATTATTTACCCTTTGTTTGGATGTTTGTTTTAATCCTGTGATTAGGGGGTGTGCATCGATCGGTGCGGTTCAATATGTACTATTAGTTCGGTTATTGGTTTTTAAATATTCTAAATCAATAACCAAACTAAACGATATTTTTTATCGATTTTCAATTTATCAGTTTTGATCCTTAACGGTTCGATTTTCGGTTTAACCAATAAGAAAATGCTTATAAAACAAATATATGACTTCTCTAAATTTTATGCAACAAGACAATAATGTAACTTTACAAATGCTCATAAAATAGAAACAATAATAACTAACATGAAAAGAACTATATATACAAGTATAATAGAAAGAGAAGTTAAGAGGAATAGGGTTCTTACTTTAGGTTTTGACGTTTTGTATAATGTGAAGTTGTGAACTCAAAGTAGGGGTGTGCAAAAACCAAACTGACCGATAAATCTAACCGCAAAAATGTTATTGATTTATTGTTATTGGGTTAACAATTATTTAATAGTTTTATAAGAAAAAAATTATTGGATTATCGGTTCGATATTGATTTTTTAATATTAGGTTATTCGGTTAACCAATAACCAATTAAGAATATAATAACTTACTATTTTAATTTTTAGTCATACATAAATATCAGACAAAAAATATTAGTGATATAATCACTATATTAGACTATAACTATAAGGACCACAGTATTAACACTATTTAACTCTGACCTCTGTATTTATCCTAGGTTTTAGTAATGCTTTAGTCTTTATTGTTGCAATTTAGTCTGATTTGCTTGTTTTGATGTATGCATGTATCGCGTGTTTGTTTTGAAAGCATTTTCTTATTGGTTAAATCAAAAAACAAATTGTTAAAGGCCAAAAATCGATAAATCAAAAATTGATAACAAATATATATCTTATTGGTTCGGTTATCGGTTTAGCATATTTAAAAACCGATAAATCGAACCAGTAATACTTAAAATCGAACCGACCGATACACACCCCTAACTCAAAGTCACTGTAAAATGTGAATTGCAAGCTAAAGAACAAAAATAGTAACTAGTAAGGTATTGAGATTAATATTTAATATTTAATATTTATGAACATGTAAAAGACGTAAATTGCAACAGTCTTAATGAGTTATTAGTTTACCAAATAACTCAATATTAAAAATCAATATCGAATTGATAACCCGATAATTTTTTTTTATAAAACCATTAAGAGATCGCTAACCAATAACCCAATAGCAATAAATCGATAACATTTTATTCAATTTAATTTATTGATCGATTCAGTTTTTGCACATTCTACTTGTGATTATAAACATATCATATAAAAAAAGCACTAATAAAAAAATTGAAATGAGGAGACTAATTTACTAAAAAGTATATTTTATGATTTTATTTTTACTTAGATAAATATTAAAGTTTGTAGAAAAAAATAAAAAGTAAGGAGTGATTAAATTTTATAAAGCAAAAATATTTTATAATTTTAAATTAAATTACTCACATCTTCATATTAGTGAATAAAATCTATATAATAATATCCAACAGATTATATCGCAATCATATGACTTCACCATATTAACTTGAATTAATCCTTACAAACATAAATAATAGTAGCAATAATATTACTATTTTCAATATTACAAATTTGATTTAGTATGGAAACACATAAACATAAAATAGTATATATTCACAGTTCAAATTTTAATTATAAAGTGAAATTATGATTTAATGTATACATTGAGTATGAGTAAATTTATAATTTATTCATTCGTATTATATGACATGTTAACTTCTGATATCAAGATGATGTGGGTGGACTTTAAACTAAAAATAATTTATTAATTTCTCATTAAATATGATTGTCCACAAATAAACGTCCACAAATAAATGTGAGTCATTTCTTACTACATTTTTGGTGTCAATTATTTTAATTATTATGTTTAACTGAGTTTAGAAGAATTTTGAAATGTGATATCACATAAATGCATCTTAATAGAATAATTGAATCCACGTTTCATTCAGAAATCCATGAACCATTTCTTCGTCAGTGGTATAAACTCATCCGCTAGGTATTTGACTCATTTCAAACTTAAAGAAAAAAAATATTTATATTAGCAAAAAACTTGTAACTTTTTTATAATCTACCGTGCCTAAACTTGTTTCTACAAATCGTAGTTATTATTTAACAATGGTTAAAGTGCTCTAGTTAGTACACTAAACTTATCCATTAAAATTTTAAAAGTTATATGAAATAAATTTGAGATAGCATTAGAGTAACAATAACAAATTATATCCAATACCTTCACCTGAATTGCAGTTTGCAATTATTTTAAAATTTTCATTCGAATATGAATATTTATATTAAGACTTGATTAATTGAAATTTGTATTGAATCAAATCCTTTCAGAAATAACACTTTCTATCAAAGACTTTTTCATATCCGTTTTCAGTTTCTAATTCAAAGCTCAAGATAATTTATTAGTTTCTCATTAGTTTACTTTCGGTTTCAGCTTTTACACGATTCTCAAGAAACTATAAATAAATAGATTTTTATTAATTAATTTTTTTAATATACTTTATTTTATGTGCCTCATTTATCAATACAAAATTAATTATGAAGGAGCTTCTTAGAACGTTATTATATTTTGTGCAAGTGATCAATATTGTTTACACTTCTAAAAAACTTTTATTTTAATTTTTATAAATTGACAAGTAATTGAAAATAAATTATTTTAGTAATGTGGATAAATAATATGAGACATACGAAGTAATTTTCATATTCCCTCTAATTCATTTTACTTGTCACTCTTACTGAAAATAGATTATCCAAAATATTTATCTTTTAAAAAATTTAATTACTTCAGGTCTCCCTCTATCCAAAAATAAATGTTAACTTAGCAAAAAAAAAATGTGTTACCTTCGGAATTCAAGACAAAAACAAGTGTATTTCTTTCCAATTATATCTGTATTCCATTTTTTTTTAGTAGTTTTCAATTTTCAAGAGTCATTTATTAAATATGAGTAATTTAGTGAACTACACATTGTATTTAATGATTTCTAAATGGACGTGAGTTTAGCTAAGCTAATACATATTTAGAAACTGAGGAAGTATTACCTTTTTAATCTTTTCCCTAACTCAATAAATATGGAGAAAGATTACTGTGGTGAAAAAAAAAAAGTAGTACTCCACCTTTTACTTTTATTGGTCCATTATATTAACAATATATTTTCGTTTATTTCTTACTTTTCGCATATCTCAATATTAATTACTTATTTTTCAAGATCTAAGATTAAATATCAATTAATTTAAATATTGTGATAAAATAGAAGAGATGAAGATATTTTTAAACTAGTAAAAAATTAGGTAACTTTTGTTTTTGCCGGTGTTTCAGTTTGCATTTCATTAATCTTAAATCGGAAAAGGGTATAAAATGCCCTTAACGTATTGAAAATGGCTCAAAAATGCCCTTCTTCCACCTATTGGATCAAAAATGCCCTCCCATCCACCTATTTGGATAAAAAATACCCTTAAGGTTAAGTTTAAGCCTAAAATTACTCTTCCTTTTAACAGAAGTTGATGTGGCATTAAAAATTCTTTTAATTAAATATGTGGTATTATTTTATTAATCCACATGTAATTAATTAGATCCAATTTCATTCACAATCATACTCATTGATCCAAACTCATTTCTTAAAAACCCAACACTTTCTTCATCTTCCTTTTCCAAAATTATTTGGTGAAAATTAATAAAGTGTTGGGCATCATCCTCGGAAGAGAATAACTGGTTAAGGTCATGAACTTGTTTAAGAAAACAAAAGCATGGAGATGGCGACGAATTATCAGAAGCATCCAAGTCAAAAACTGGAAAATCTCAAAATTTTGGGTCTTCATCATCAGCAAAATCTGACTTGTCGACAAGTTATCAGAAGCATCTAAGTGCATACATAGCAGAAAACATGTGAATTAGTAACGTTGATGGAGAAAGGGAACTCGAATTAGAAACACTACTTACATCTAACAACATCTGCTTACATTTTGAGAGCCAGTGGAACAAGTACAATGTACAAGGCTGTGCTAGAAAACGGGACTGTAGAATATTGAAAACCAAGTAATATTCAACATATCTTGAAAATCAGTACTTTATTAATTCCTCCAAATAGTTTTGGTGAAGGCAAATGAAGAAAGTATTGGTCTTTTAATTAGAAATGGGTTTGGGTTGGTATGATTGTGAATGAAATTGAGTTTAGTTAATTGCATGTGGATAAATAAAAATAATGTCACATATTTAATTTTAAAAAAATATTTATGACACATCAACTCTTGTTAAAAGGAAGGGTAATTTTTAACTTTGAGGGCATTTTTTATCCAAATAGGTGGATGGGAGGGCATTTTTGATCTAATAGGTGGAAGGACAACATTTGTGACCCATTTCTTATACGTTAAGGGTATTTTTGACCCTTTTCCCATCTTAAATATATGACCAAATTAGCCAAAACAAAATTTATAATACTGGGAAAATTACGCATAGTTAATTAGTTAACATAGCTATAATTTGCCTTAATTACAATTCGCGACCTACTTTTAGTTATAATTACACGGCTCAGAATACAAATATGTTTATACACTTTTCATATTAATTAGCCAAATACAAATAATTTGTTATCAAAAATACTTTTTATGAAAAATTCTTTAAAAAATAAATAGATTTTGCAAGGTTAGCCAAACAGGCTATTAATATCGCAAGCCAAAGTATTACACATTTCTCACTTGACCTTGGTTAAATGACAATTTCTCATTTCAAATTTTAATCGTAAATATTTACCTCAGTCTTATATAAATGATAATGGCATTTTGCAGAAAATGTTGTTAAATTATATTTCATGTTTGGGAAGTATAATTAGAGACTCCTAATAAAGTCAGATCCTACCAATATGTGAATTGAAGATACTAAAAAGTGATGAAGTGTTTGCATTAAACTCACATAACAACATGTTCCTAGAATTGGTTATCTTGAATGATGTTCTTATACTAATCTTCCAAATTATCCAAATCAGTTTGGTGACCAAATAAAATAGTTAACACAACCACCTGTAAAAGCTTCTCTTACTAAAAGCATCAATAAAAACATACCGATTAAGCATAGAAAAGAAATAACAGAATTTTAGGGGGACATAAGATACTCAAAACAGACAAGAAACTCATTTTACAACACCATACTCGGTGAAATCCCACAGGTGGGGTATGGGGAGGATAGAATGTACACGAACCTTACCATACATCAAGGAGGTAGAGAGGCCGTTTCCGAAAGACCCCAGTGTCAACAAACCCATTTCCCAGAAGAAGAAAAAAGGGACATTTCCTCCTACTTTTTCTAAAGAACATAAGAGCAAGGGAACCTCTTTGCTTTCAAATTCTTCTTCAGTTTCCCTTCCTTTCTGCACTACCACCAAAGTGTTACCTGACAATTTAGAAACCAGCAGTACCAATGTGCTAGTATTTTCACCAATTTCCATTTCTCACTTCACAATACAAGCGTAAATATTTTTTTCTCAAATATCTTGAAGAATATTGGCGCCTACCTCATCAGGAAGGTGAAAGAAAAAGCAGGTGTATATACATAAAAGACTGTCAAATTTCTGCATAGAGAATATACAACCCAATCAAAGCTTTAATGATATGAAAGAGCACCTGGGAATTTCGTAGGCTCAGATAAAGAATTTAACCTAAAAATAAGATTGAATGTACAGCCCTATGGTCCATCTTCACCATCTTTCATCAAATTACATATATCAGAGCATTCCACCAAACTGCAAGAAGAAACATTAGAAAGAAACAAAAAAAACACGTCAGTCAATTTTCATTAGCAAATATATCAGTCATTAAGAAAATACTTATGGCTGGTAATCATGTTCCTCACTAGATGTATGCGGTGAAAGTTTCAAACTGGAACATTAAGTGATTTCCTATGGATATTACACAGTTAACATCCTAGTATGCAGTGATTGATGCAGCTTTCATCACATTGTTTGCTCCTTTTTTTTTTTTTTTTTATAATAGTAACTTTACTTCTACATATCCACAGGTATACTACAACCAAAGTGTAGTTCCCCTTCAAAAGTATTACAACTTACAACTTGCAATTCAATTCTGTGCCTCACAAAAAGTTTAAAACATCACAAATATCTACTATTTGAGCTAATAGTTTTTGCTCACACCAAAAATAAAAAAGGCCTAAACAACTCATTTTAAGATTCTGAATGTTGTTCCGAGTCCCCTCAAAGCACCTTTTGTTCCTCTCAATCCAAATTGACCACCAAATGCATGCCGGGACGATCTTCCATCTTTCTTCCTTCTTGCTCACATTACAATCCATATTCCAGCATCTTAGAACATCTGCAATGATTCCATGTTTCACCCAACTAATCCCTTTCATACTGATGAACATCCTCCAAAGTTGGTCTATCCATTTGCAATGCAAAAAAAGATGGTTGATTGTCTCAGCTTGTTCCCCACATAAAAAACACCCAGAAGTTAGTTGGTGACTCCTTTTGTTCAGATTATCATGAGTTAACACTGCTTCTTAGGCCAAAAGCCAGATGAAACAATTAACTTTGTAGGGAATTTTTGGTTTCCATATCATCTTCCAAAGCCAATCTTTTTCCTTCACCACTCCTACATTTAGCTCCCTGTATGCAGATTTGACAGAAAAAATTCCCTTACTGTTTCTGTTCCATTCTAGTCTGTCCACTTCTTCAGTCAGATTGTTGAATCTTGCTAATGAGTAATAGAATTCTATTATTCTCCCGATCTCCCAATCATACAGATATCACCTTAGATATAAATTCCATCCTTGTCCAGTCCACATCATGGCAATTGTGGCTTGTTTTTGCTGGCTTAGAGTGCATAGCTCCAGATGTTGTTGTTTCAATGTTAAAAGCCCTGCCCACTTGTCATGCCAAAATGAGGTTTTCTGCCCATTTCCTATCCTCACCTGAGTTCTAACCTGCATCACTGGTCAAAGATTCTTAATAGCTCTCTAGACTGAACATCCATAGGGTGTTGTGACATTCTTAGTCATCCAATTATCTTCCATACATACTTTGCAAGAATGGCTTCTTTCCAAAACATTCCTTCTTCAGTAGCAAGTTTCCACAATCATTTCATCATCAGGCTTTGATTCTGACTAAGAGCTCCTCCTACTTAACTAGGTGATACTTCTTCTTATCTTCATTCCCCTGCCATAAAAAGTTCCTTCTCAGGACATCTATTTTCTTGCTAACACTAGCAGGCATTGGGAAAGTGGACATCAAGTAGGAAGGCAATGTGTCTAATACACTGTTTACTAGGGTTAGCTTGCCTTCCCTGGAGAGGTGTTGACTCTTCAATTTGTAAGCCTTTTTGTACATTTTTCACCACCCCATTCCAAATTGTTGCAGACTTACTTTTAGCACCCAAAGGCATTCCAAGATATGTAGTTGGAAGCTCCCCTACTCTTCCTCCTAATTTGCTTGCTAGAGCATCTATCTCCCTGACTGTGTTGATAGGATATATAAAACTCTTCCCCCAGTTTATATGTAACCCAGAGACTGCTTCAAAAATTATGAAGATGACCCTCAATATTAGAACTTGTCCCTCTTTTGCTTCACAAAATACTAAGGTGTCATCTGCATACCGTAAGTGTGTTACTTCTAAACTGTTTGTCTCACTCAACTGGAAACCTCTAATCCACCTTTTCCCTCATTCTCTATTTAGTAGATTGCTCATGCCCTGCATTGCCACTTTGAACAAAAATGAAGACAAGGCATCACCCTGTCTCAAACCTCTCTGGGATGAAAGGAATCCATTTGGTTCCCTGTTTATTAGCACTAAGAATTTGACTGTGCTAATGCAATGTTCTATCTACTTGATCCACCTAAATTCAAACCCCATCTTCTCCATTAGCTTTAGCAGAAAATTCCAATTCAAGTAGTCATATGCCTTCTGAATATCCAGCTTGCACATAATTCCTGGTTTCTTGCTGTTTTATCTAGAATCTACACACTCATTTGCAATTAAGATTGCATCCATTATTTGTCTCCCTTTGATGAATGCTATTTGTTGTCTGCCAACTGAACCATGGATCACTTTCTTTATTCTTTCTACTAATAACTTAGCTATGATCTTGTACACTCTCCCAATCAAGCTTATAGGTCTGTAATCATTTAACTCCTTCACCCCCACTTTTTTTGGAATCAACGCCACGAATGTAGCATTCAGGCTTTTTTCAAAAAAACCTTTCCCATGAAAATTTTGCATTGTAGCTACTTGGTCCACTTTGATTGTTTCCCAGCATTGTTTGAAAAACTCCATAGAATAATCATCAGATCCGGGGGCCTTGTCTCCAACACATGCTTTGATGCTTTCAAAAACTTCTTGGGAAACAAACGGAGCCATCAATACTAGATTATCCTAAACACTGATCCTGGGACAATTCTCCATTTCAAGTTGTGGTCTCCATTCCTCAGTTTCTGTGTACAATCTTTCATAGTATGAGACTACCTCTTTCTTCACCTCTCCTGGGTCCTCCACCATTACCCCCCCCCCCCCCCACCCCAACTTTCAGCAGCTTATCTATAGTGTTAAATCTCCTGAGGATATTTGCAGTTTTGTGGAAGTACTTGTGTTTCTATCCCCCTCTTTTAGCCAAGTTTCCCTGGACCGCTGTCTCCAGGCAATCTCACTGTGAGTGCTATGCTGGATGTTATTTTTTCGTCCTTCAAGGCTCTGCATTCCAGTATCTTTTCTATTGCTTCTAACTGTGATAGGACATTTTGTTTTTGAACCCCCAAGTTTCCCTGCCTTGTCTTACTCCACTCCTTCAATTTTACCTTTAGACCTTTCAGTTTTGCCATTAGGATATAGTCAGGGCCGCCCTCATACTTAAAGGAATCCCAGCACTCCTTTACCCTTTCCTTGAAGCCTTCGGTTTGCAACCACCAGTTCTCGAACTTGAAATAAGACTTCAATGCTTTCCACTCTCCACATTGCAACATAATGGGGTGTGACCCGAAGTGATCCTTTGTAGAACTTACTGCTTAATGTATCTGAAGCTATCATCCATCTCATCTGAGATGAGTATTCTGTCTAATCTTGCTGCGCTGTCATGCCAATCTCCTTTCTTCCATGTATACTTTCCCCCTTTCAAATCCAAATCTACAAGTTCCATGTCCTCAATGAACTCTGATAAGACAGACATGACTCTGTTGATTCTTCTGCAATTCTTCTTTTCTGATGGATGCTTAGTTGTGTTGAAATCCCCACATAAAATCCAAGAACCTGAAAAGAGACCCCTAGCAGCCCCTATTTCCCCCCAAGTTTCCTCCCTTTCTAGTCTATTATTTGGAGCATATATGCATGTTAGGTGCCATTTGAAGTCTTGTGTTTCCCTACGAGACTGCAAGAAACCGAGTACATTCCCACACTGCCCAGTTTCCCTTCCCATCCCTCTTATCCCACATTATCACAATGCCTCCTCTAGTCCCGCTAGCTTCTAGATGAACATAATCTACCCATTTATTGCCCCAAATATCTCTAACAGCTTCTGTGATGTCCCCGCTCAGTTTGGTCTCTACTATTGAAAGATTTCAAATGTAGCTCAATTTCAACATTTATAAAAAATTTAGGCCGCAATGGCAAGTACCAAGCATTTCATTTTGAAACGTGTTATCAATCTTATCTAAAAATTTAAGGTGTTATAGAGAACACACTTTTAATTACATAATTATATTATGTACCATCACACCTCCTCATGTGTGGGTTTGATTCGTTCTCATGCCCAAACACGTGGAAATATGTTCCTGCATTTAGCAATGCCAGCAGTCTGGTGAGGGCTGGCTGTCTGAGAAACAAGTTAAGGCAAGGCATGTTCGGCTCTATGTTGCTCGGACTCTAGAATGTCAATGGGTGCATGACGGATTCTCCAAAATTAGTGTATTTTTGGTGAATCCGACACGGGTGCGGAATCGAAAGTGAAGAGTCCCCGCAACTTAGGTTGGGATTGCTTCTCATGAAGTTGGGTATTTTTTCGGGCGACATATTTGGACCCAGGACTTCTTGCATGCTTAGATATTGTTTTGGAGTTTGTGATCATCTTATCTAAAAGCTTTGGCAGTTAGAAAAAGCATATTTTAGTTACTTATAGGGATTATGTCTCAACAAGGAAAGAATGAAACTACATTTTATTTATTTTACAAACAATACGACGCTTCCTAAACTTTTACTTTAGCAAGATCAAAAGATAGAAAAGTAAACTTGGTCTTAAAAGTTGAAGAGGCAGGAAGGAAGACAGATGTACATCATTTTCTCCATTTCTCTCGGTTTCACTTTTCTTCTCTCTCCTAATTATATATTCATCTCTAACTGAACAACTTCTATAGTTACTTACCATGGTCACTGATTATGCCTTCCGATGTAGTAAGGATGTAGAAGATATTGATTTTCAGTAGGTGTTGGAAATTAGATGAAAGATAAGTTCATTCCCCTTTTAGTAAGTACGATAGGATAAATAAAGGTGGACACGCTTTTAGCAGTCCAGGCAAAACTTGTATGAATTGTGTTTATGTAAAATTGAAGGTTTAGCAACACTAAAGATCAGCATTTAATGAAGAGCACAACTAATTTTAAAACTTTCCATCTTCCGTGGCAACAACAACATGATGCCTTCTTTACTTTTTCTCTAGGTAGGTTGAAGGATGGAAAAGTAGGCTTGGTCTTAAAAGCAGAAGTCATACTGTCATAAGAAGTAAAAGCGATTGATCCATTCTTTTCGTTGTTGAATCTCTTTCTGACTAATCAATATGTGATACTCCGAACCTCATTACTAATGGAATCCAAATGATCTCTTGATTGATCAGAAGATCCTTTCAATTCGATCTATAGCCATTTGGGTCTCCTAAAACAATCTATTAAATTCATAGAGTTGTTCTTAAGGATCAAAATGGCCACTTATTAATGGAATTCCTTGTTGACTTTTTGTAAGATACTTGTTTGGCCAAGGGCTTCAAGATACATCGTAAGCTAAACCAGTGTTGACAAATAACCAACTCTCAATGAATAGGAAAGTTATAGTAATGCTATGAATGACTCAATACCGGATGCTGGTAAAAATATCAACAAAAACAAAAACGTTTTCCTGTGCTTCCAGACATGTTGACCTTCACATATTCTTGAACAGTCAAAGAAGATCGATTATGTAAAAGATGAGCTCAGTAAATGACAATTCATTGAAATCTCATCTTTGCGAGATCGCCAATATTGTTCAAGTTCTTTCTGTTTATATCTCCTTGTTTAACTTTTCCCTTTTCTTGCTTATTGAATAAGGAACTTCCTCTTTGCCTAATTTGGCTACTTATTCCACTTTCGTGGAACAAGGATGCTGAAGATATATGACTTTTGGTAGATGTTGGAAGTGAACACAGATATTTATTCACCTGTTAATAAGTAAGACTGGAGAAACAAAGATTGAAGTAGTTGCATGAAGAGGAAAAAGACCTCGTCTATGCTTGAACAGTTCTTCCTATAAACTAGGCAAACACTGTGTTATATTTCTTATTCTACAGACCAGACTAAGAATACAAAAAGTTGTAATTATGATGCACATACAAACTTGCCATGTATGGTTACTTGTTCAGTATGGCATATTTTAACAAGAATTTGGCAAGTGATGAGTTGCACAACTGTGAGTAGACAAATATAATCTACTAAATGGAGGCATAAGGAAATGAAATATAAAAACTGATGAGTTTGAAGGAAAAGCAATTACCAGTATTGGCGACTGCGAAACCCTTGCTTAAACACCACCAGAGGCCTGTAGACAAAAGAAGTAAAATCAAACCTCATAAAATGACTTTCTCAACAATATCTCTTTGTCAATATATCTCACATCCTATCCACATTCAATTAATTCTACAGAAAGGAACCTCTTATGCCGTGTTCATTTTTCCTTTCCTTTTTACTTCTCCTTTTCTACTCTTTTTTTCTAAAATTTTGATAGAATAGGGGGCAGGTTGGAGGAAGAAGAAATATGGAATTTTTAATAAGGTTATCATCTATCAATAAAGTAAATTAGAAATACTATACCATGGAAGTAGGCATTTAATTAGCCTTTCACTTACCTGCTTATCGTTTTCCTGCAAGCACTTTCAATCATTATCAAGAAGGGACGAAAGAAAAAGGAACTGCAGATTAAAAGAATCGACCAGAAGAAGTTGAATTATATATTATTAGTCAAACTGCCTGTACCATATAACTTCAGTTCCAATTTTAAAGCTGCAACATATCTGTTCAGATATGAGTACTTGAAATCTTTTCATCCTTCTATAGAAGACATGCTTCACCAATAGTCAACAAAGAAAAGTAAAACTAAGAGAGCTGTATGGTATCTAACCGAAATAATGTCAAACATGAAAGAAATGCTATAAATAGCTTCACATCCTTGCCCTTTTCAAACCACGAGTAGCTCATGCTTTCTATCTAGTTTTATCAGAGTATCAGTCTCACGATTTCCTGCAGCTTAGTTTAAACTTTAAAATGTATCTAATGTACATTTTCCTCCCCAAGTTTTTGTAATGAAATGGCTGTGTACATTCTTCTACCTAACAAGCTCATTTCCTGCTTGTTTGAAGCTTTTAACTTAGCACTTATCTACATTCAAATCTACCAGTGTATAAATGGTGTCTGAAGACCACATGCACTAAGATTGAAGTATAACTGATTTTCTCCCTCTCTATCTCTCTCTCCCTCCCTTCCTTTATTACCTTCCTTACCCTCATTATGTCTCAATTTCTGTCAACCTGACTGGCGACTGTGGAGCTAATTGTTAGTTGTTCGAGCAAACTTTATGCTACAATTCTTCCTACGATCAACTACAACGCTTGCAGACAGGTTTAGCAAGAAAAGATGTTCAGAATTGAGGTTAGAACTCTATATTTAGAAGGTTGCAACTATGAAATGCCACATTAATAAAAATATTAGAAGGTTGTCCATTTGATTTTCAATATTTTGATTTTGCTTTTTCCATCCTAGCGCTAGCAAGCCCAAAAGAAAGAATTGTGATTTGATGCCAACGTGCATTTCTGGCAAATTATGAAACATATGATCCATACATTCCAACTCAAAGGGAATTGGAGAAATATATCCAGGTTCATAAGATAGCTGCCTAATTAATGTAACCTAAATTTGATAGCTTATTTTGGAATGGTATCTCATAAACAATAGGAGCAGGAAATGTACTAAATGAGTCGGCATTCTACTTAATGTACCTATAAATATACAAGGTCGAGTGACATTGGTCTCACCCAGTCACAAACTTTTAGTTTTCGTTCTAACATACTCTTTTGCATCATCATGGAACAACTTTTTGGTGGAATAAAAAATCTTCCTACCACGGTCAGAATTGCTAGGTCTATCTTGAATGTGGAACTAAGAAAATACTAGCAGCAAAGAAAATTTCAATCCTGCATAGTCTTTATCCACCATTGCTATTTATCCTCTTAAAGAAACTTCTACTTCTCGGATTTCCTAACCTAAAAGAGATTCATCATTCACGTCAATAGGAGAATAAGTCTACCTTCTTTCAGACTGGGGAGTTTGACATGAAGCTCTTTCAGGTTAGAGAATTCAAGGAGGAGAAGTGATTCCCAATTAAAGTTGTAAATAGTTAGATTAGGTGAGCTAATAGATTAGTTGTTCGAACTTATTGAATCCATGGTTAGCTTTTTGTATCTAAGGGTATTGCTCAAGTGTACTTGAAAAGGAGATATTTTTACATTTCCAAATTTTCTGGACAGAACTCTAGTCCTCTTTCTCTCTTTGGTAGTCTTTCTTAGCTAAATTAAGTTCATCTTCCAACAAATACATAATGCAAAGTCAATCTCCTCCGAAAATTGGACAAATATACGAAGAACAGATTGTAGTCATAGGAATAACATGTGTGGAGGGGAATCTTAGTAGCTCTTTTGGTTGACTATGTGAACTTTCAATTCCTCACCTTGTAATCCACTCCCTATTTAAGTAACATATTTGTATAAATCCATAGGAAATCAAAAGGAACAGTTCCAACAAAGGCTTGGTAGTCAAATTAGTGACTTAATAACATACAAAGTTATTAAATCATACCTTCTAACGTTGAGAGGACCTTCACCAGTGTCACCACGAATACAAGTATTGACACATTTGACAGTGCAAATCTCTGCTTGCCTTGACTTGGGTCTTTGAATCCTCGCCTTCTTGCAATCCTTCTGACCATCAACACAATCGCCAGACAGCGTTTGCGGTACATTCGAAAATGTCTCTCCAAGTATTTCCTGCTGCGTTTCAATCTGCGCCGGCACCGCCAACGCCTCCGCCCCATTCACCGCCACAATCACAGCACATGCTGCAATTGCGGCCAGTATCGCCGCAGTTATTGGCTTCCGCGCCTTCGTAGCAGAAAAAACGCATGTTCGTCTGTCCTGAGAAACATCGACACTGACAGTACTTGTGGCAACTGCTTGTAGTCGTTTGCGACCACTAAGTAAGCAACCATGGCCATGGCTATGGGTGACCAACCACTCTGGATAATCTACTGGAAATCTAAAGAGGGTTGAACACAAGCAATAAGTTCCCATTTGTCAAATTACAGAAATAATTCCGATTTTTGCAATTCAAATTGCATTTGTGGAAAGACCTCTACTTAGAATTTGGGTTGTTTAGCCACCTTATGTTAAAATTTTATACACTTTGGTCTGCTCTTCCTATAGTCTGTATCGGGTTAATTTCAACAAAAACTCTTCAACTATGCTCTAAAGTTTGTGATTTGTTTTATATATATCATTCCTTAATCTATTTTAGAAGTTTCTATAGTCATTTTTCAGTCTAAATATGTTCTTTTCATTAACAATTTTTCACCGTAAGAAAATAATTTAACTTGAATGATAGTTAACACAATATATATTTGAACTTTTTCAATTATTCAAATCATTCTATTTGTGGTCGAAACTTTATTATATCTTTAATTAGAATCAATTTGTGTTTATTTTTTTTGAATAATTTTAAATTTGTTTTATCTTCTAAAAATACTTTATCTTTATTTGTTGTTTTTCTTCATTAGCTCTTCTAATCTAAGGTCAATTTATGTATATACATGCAATTGTACGTGACAACTTTAATTAAAGAAATTCATCTAGCGTATGATTATACTGTAAATCCTAATCTTATTGGAACATAATTTTGTTTAGAGAGACATGATATAATAACGTTAATCCTATTAGCCTATACTTTTTATACTGCTTATTTAATACCTTAGGTCAAAAATGGATAAATCATACATATTTAGTAGTAAATGAAATGATTTGTAGCAGCATGCTCATAACAATTAAAAAAAATTCCCTCAAATATTCTCCTATTTGAGTTCTCCTAGGTTACGAATGTCATATATAAGACAAATAAAAAATATTAGAATTAAATTTAAAAGATGCATATAATAAGAACAATTTAAAACGTAATATTGATTTCTCCAAGTAAAGAGGCCTAGGAAAGAATAGGCCTCACTTAGGGGAGGCAAAGATTTAAAAAAAAAACATGAAATATAACAAACATCCTTGAGCAATGCATATAATGAAAAGCACACTTCAAGTGAGTTGAACAACTTATTACATTAGTCCTCCTGGACTATAAAAATAAAGAAAAAAAAATGAATGAGTACATGGAAATTTGACAAAATCATCATAGACAATCAAATGAAAACTAGAAACCTGAAATTAGTTCAACAGGCAATAATAACTATCCAAAAGCTGCTATATCAAGAAACAAAACAAAAAGAACATAGGCGTAGCGCGATATCAGAGAGACATAGATTATCTTTGCTCTGATCAGAAACACTTCCTGTGCACAATTGATGGGCCAGACTCATCAAACTCTGCCTTCGCAATCCACATCTACATTTCAAACGAGACAAATATTTTAAGCATCAATCATCGCAAAGATATTGACTAACAACAACAACAACATACACAGTGAAATCCCACTAAGTGGAGTCTGGAGAGGGTAGAGTGTACGCAGAAGACCTTACCACTACCTCGTGGAGGTAGAAAGGCTGTTCTCGAATATACTTAATTGAAAAACTAATGCTTACCTGCTGGAAGGTACTGAGGGATGCCAAGATGGAACCTCCAATCCACACACTGTACTTCCTTTCAGGAGGCGCGACAACCTTAATCTTCATGCTGCTAGGGGCTAACGCGGTGATCTCCTTACTCATTCTGTCAGCAATACCAGGAAACATAGTGGATCCACCACTAAGTACAATGTTCCCATACAGATCCTTCCTGATATCAACATCGCACTTCATTATAGAGTTGTATGTTGTCTCGTGGATACCAGCAGCTTCCATTCCGATTGTGGAAGGCTGGAACAGCACTTCTGGGCAACGGAAACGTTCAGCTCCAATGGTAATCACTTGGCCATCTGGCAGTTCAAAGTTCTTCTCGACAGAGCTGCTTGACTTAACCATATCCAACTCCTGCTCAAAGTCTAGAGCAATGTATGCCAGCTTCTCCTTCATGTCTCTCACAATTTCCTTCTCAGCACTGGTGGTGAATGAGTATCCACGCTCTGTGAGGATCTTTGCCAAATGCTCTGTGAGGTCACGACCAGCAAGGTCAAGACGAAGGATCGCATGAGGAAGTGCATAACCTTCGTAGATAGGAACTGTGTGGCTAACACCATCTCCGGAATCCAAAACAATACCTACAAGGCAGACAAGAATCATATACTTTTCATGTTAACCAACAGCAACTTACTCAGTGTAATCCCATAAGTGGGATCTGGGAGGGTACTGTGTATGCGGACCTTATCCATACCTTGGAAGGTAGAAAGTTTGTTTCCGATAGAACCTCAGCTCAAGGAAAAGCATATCAAAACATTTTGAAAACCACCCTAAGTTGCTTCTTCACTTTTACCAAGTTAGTAAAATCATTCCACAAATTTCCTCATCTTTTCTAACACTTCTCCATCCATACTCACAATTATCAGTAATAACTAATGACATCTCTGACAAAAATCATCAACAAAAGGGTCACTAAAAGTCATATAACTCCCCTGGTTTATACGTGACAGTAATAATATCCATGAGATCGATTCCTAGTAAGAACGGATCCTTAATTATAGAAAATTGGAACATGATCAACATCCAAAAAAAAAAAAGAATTACAGAATGTGAATATCTTACCAGTAGTACGACCACTAGCATATAAAGACAGAACAGCTTGAATTGCAACATACATTGCAGGGCAATTGAATGTTTCGAACATGATTTGAGTCATTTTCTCACGATTAGCCTTTGGATTGAGAGGTGCCTCAGTGAGCAGAACCGGATGCTCTTCTGGAGCAACTCGAAGTTCATTGTAGAAAGTGTGATGCCAAATCTTCTCCATGTCATCCCAGTTATTAACAATACCATGTTCAATAGGATACTTCAATGTCAGAATACCACGTTTCGACTGAGCCTCATCTCCAACATAGGCATCCTTCTGGCCCATTCCAACCATCACTCCAGTGTGACGAGGACGTCCAACAATGCTAGGAAAAACTGCCCTTGGGGCATCATCTCCAGCAAAACCAGCCTATGTATGAAACATATACTACAGCTGAGAACATAATTTTTCGAATTTCTTCAATCAAAATGGTAATAATTGATGGTTCAATTCATTACCTTGACCATGCCGGTTCCATTGTCACAAACAAGAGGTTGAATATCATCAACATCAGCCATTTTTTACAACTATCGAAGAACAAATAAGTTAGCAACAAATAATACCTTAGACAGCAAAAATATCCTTAAACTATACGAAATAAGATTTCCAAGAAACAATTTGATACATACATACAACTAAAAAACACTATATGAAGCTCTAATCTAGTTGCATATCCAATATATTATCCTTTTGTCTCAATTTATTCGACACGTTTTCCTTTTTAGCCAGTACAAAAAACAATGACACGTTTCTATATTTAGTAACAATTTATCTTTAAAATGGCATTAAGGATTTGTAGCTACACAAACGTTAGACCACAATTTTCTTAAGTGTTTCTTTTTTTCTTAAATTCTGTATCAAATCAAACAACATCATATAAATTGAAACTAGTATTTTACATAGTCTGGATAAATTTCACTACAAAGTTTCCCCAGGATCTCCAAATTCTTTGTAGTTTTCCTTTAACATTCCAAAAAAATGCTCATGACTCAACTAAAGATTTGGAATGACTCACTCAAATATTGTTGATTTACACAAATGTTCCTTTGCTAGGCCACTATTTAGATTTTATCCCTAATTTCTTAAAGTCGCACAATGTAACCCTAGGAATTGACAAAATATTAGACTGTCGTTTCACATTTACGTAATCGTTAAAAGTTTCTCATAATATTTTCAATTTGCACAACAAGGATTTCAAGAAAATCAATCTCATTAACCAATCAATTAAAAATTCAAGAGAAGCTAAACACACATAAATAATGAAGGAAATGGCAAACAAATATATTGCAACAGAGTCACCTAACGGGAAAACGAATACATAACAATGGACCAGTAAAATTACGCTCCATGTTCTAATTTATGTTACACATTAACACGTTTCAAGTTTCAAGAGTCTAAACTTTCAATAAATGTACATATTCAAGAAAGTAATAATAGACGCAAACCACAATAATATTTACAAGACATATGAATAAAAACTTATTTGACTCTGGAAAATTGAAAGCAAATATTTCACAGATCACATGTACTAGCCGAGTTTGAGCTGGAGAAGAGTAGTAATAATAAAATGAACAAGATGTAAAATTAATTGAAGAACATATATGATTGTTCATATACTCACCTTTTTTTTCTTCTTTTTTTTTAAATAAAAATTTAGAGGTAGAATTTGCGTGCGTATGAGTGAAATCGAAAAATGGATAGTGCTTTGTTAAGAAAGAGGAGAAAAAGAAGAAAAAGAAGAAGAAAAACGACAAATTCGGATCTGATGATGAAGCGTTACCCTATACGTTAGAAGGTTGAGAAAAAATAGAAACGGCCACACATTAATCCACTGATTTTCCTATTATTTCTAAGTCTAATTAAAATAAATTATTTAAATTTCACTTCATTAAATAAATTATTTCATGGCTTAATACATAATTATTGTATGTCATTTACCTTAGTTTTCGTTGACATCTATGTCCTTAAATTTTGGATGTGTACCAGCAGATATTTTAATTTGTATAAAATTGAACAAATAGATACACATATCTTATCTTAGGTGGTATAATACACGTAGGACATCACATAAGACACAAAATTGTTATGTAGGACGTCTTGTAGGACAATGTGTCTATTTATTTAGTTTTATACAAATTTAAATATCTATTTATGTACGGTGTACACTCAAAATTAGAGGACATATATGACATGTGAAGCCAAGTTAAATGTCATAACTATTTCATCTATTATGATTGAACCATTTCGTCAATTATCGCCCTTGTTTCACAATATTACTATTAACCAATATAGTTTTTGATAAAAGAATACTTATATTTTTTAATATGAAATTTTTCTCCGTGAATTTAAATTATTTTTTTAAAAAATACCGAACACTGGAATTAGCTACCATAGTATAACCACCGCCACAAATCACTCATCATCACACCAAGTCAGTTCTAGGGTAAAACATTTGATTGTTTGTTAAAGGCGCCTAATTTTTTTTTTACATATTTATTAGCTTAATTCATTAAAAAATAAATTAATGTGTAATTTCTGTTAAAATATTTTTATAAATAACTTTTTATTTGATATGTTTTATTTAGTCATAATAAAAAAAAAAATTGTTATTACATACTAAAATTTATATATATAAAAATAAAATAATTAAAACTTAGTATAAATTAGAGGGATCGATGAGGTTATGACTCACATTTCAGCCCAAATAGCTTTTGGACAAGTCAATAACCCATCATTTATTTACTAAGTCCAATTTTATCCGCTCAAATATCTCTAATAAGCTGTTATTGGTATTGAAAATGTTTTTAGTTCCTTAATTCTGTTGCGAGAAATCATTCATTGGCAAAACAACTACTCTCCATGTCCCTAATTACTTGTCAATTTTTTAATTGACATAATGATTTTACCATTTTACCCCTATTAATTATAAAGTGGATGAATTAAAAAATTAAGATTTTCAAGAAGTTCTACATTTTTCATTAATTGAGGGTATAATAGGTAAAAAAATTGTCCTTTCTTGATTTGGACAAGTAAAAAAGGACAAGTAAAAATGGAAAGGGTAATGCTAAGGGGTCGTTTGGTTTGAAAATGAGTTATGATGGGATAAATTATGTTGGGATAAGTTATGTTGGGATTAGTTATGATGGGATAAGTTGTGTTGAGATTATTTTTTATTGAGTGTTTGGTTTGTTGTATTCAAAATAATAAATTTTAAGAACAATTTATTTGTTTACAAAAATGCCCTTCATTAATGTAAAAAGTGATATAACAAAAGGGTTGAAAGAGACATTTTTGTCATTTACCTATTTTATCCCGGGATAAGTTATCCCGGGATTACTATACCACCCCAAGAGAGGGATAACTTATCCCGGTATTAATTATTAATCCCGGGATAAGTTATCCCGAACTTGCCAACCAAACAACTAAATAAGCGGTACTATAATTTAATCCCGGGACTATTTGGTATTATCCCTCACACCAAACGACCCCTAAATGGCTAGAAAATTTGGCAAAAATATTTTAAAAATTATAATATCTTTTTTATTTTAAAATAAACAGATCTTTTTTTTTCATGTTTTAATTAAAAGGTATTAAAGTTAAAAGGGTAAAAATGTGCAAAAAGGTAAAATAACATAGATAAAATACTATTCTGGCCAAATAAAAAATCGGACAGGTAACTAGGGACAAAAGGAGTATTTGGTTATGCTATTTTGCGATTTGCTTTAACCGAAGCTATTGCATTGTTTTCCTTAATGATGACCTTCTTAATACTCCCTATCTTTTAGAAAGAAAAAAAAAGAGTGGAAGCGAGCTAGTCCCCCTAAAATGCCCGGTACTTTAGCGTTGGGGACAAGTGAAATTATTCTAAAATTTATCCGCAATCGTTATCACAAATTGAATATCCAGTTAATATTTATATATTTAATTATATAACTATAACTATTATTATTAATAGAATGTGAAAAATTCTATGTCGTTTTTTTCTGTTTTTTTTTTTTTTTTTTGAATTTTACTTCTTGTTTAAATGAGAGAGTAATTAATTAAAATGATTTTTTTCTTCCATTATTAATTTGTACTGACCTTCACTTTCGATTTTGACTTTTCCCTTGGTGTGTACTGTGTAGTTTCTTCCTTTTTCTGAATATGAATATTGTATTTTATAATTTCAACCCATTTTTTTCTGAATTGATTATTTCTTTATATCCTGTTTGATTGATTTATAGATAAAATTAAAAGACATCATATATAAATTATCATAAAGTTGAATAATTTGATACACATGTTTTACGTGATAAATTTTGTACAATATATGATAGTTTATTTGTGCAGTACACTCAAAGTGTCTACTTGTGCATGTACACACCAAAGTTAGAAAACATATATATTAGTTACGTCTAAATTAAATGACATATTTATATATTTTATCAATTTAAAAACATGACTAAACAGAGTTTTAACTTCAAAGATTTCAAATATAATAATAAAAAATTATTAAATTTTCGCGATCAAACACTTACTGAAATAAGTTTATGCATATTCTAAATGAAGTTTCATTTTATGATTGATCTTCCCATGTACGCTTTTGATTGACTTACTACGTACGCTTGTGATAAGTATTATTGTTTTACACTGTAAAATGACAAACTATAGCTCAATCGTATCACGTACGTTTTCTATACTTATTACATGACCAATATGCCAAAAGAATCATTCAAATCAGAAATGATGAGCAGCCACTTGTAAATATACCACTTTAGTAATTTTTGGACATATCTCTTTTTCTTTTTCTTTTTCTTTTTTTGGGGGTTGGGGGAGTATATCAGGAAAATTTGTGAGTGCGTATACGTACTAGGTAAATTTCTCTAGTGTAACAATTCATAAATTACATTAGAGATTTAACTTGCACTAGTGTAATTTTGGTGTGACAAGTTTGATTGAGAAGATGTTGATATTAGGGAAAATCGATTCTTAGCTTTCTTTATGAAATATCACTTGTTACATCAATTTAGTCACCTTTATGTGTTGTTGACATATGCTGGTACTAAACTTTCAGGTGTTATCAATAATTCTTTTAATGTCGCTGGCATAGAAAAAATTATTGTCATTTAGAAGCAGATTCAAGATTTTTTATTTATGAATTCTAATATATATATATATATAGTATTGAGGACAAGTTTTATATATATTAAATGAAAAATTTAACACAAATACAAGGTTTGATCGTCAAAATTATTGAGTCCTATCGAACTTGTAATTATAACGATGGTCCACCCCTGATTACCAACCACCAAAGGCGATGATGAGATGGATAAAATATCTTCACTCCTTGACAAGTGATCTGGAATTCGAGCCAGGGAATAGACAAAATTCGATACAAGGAGAACATTTTCCCTAGCTTTGATGTAGTGTGAATCGAGATTAATCGAGGCTCAAAATAGATATCAGACACTAAACAAAATAAAAAAGAAAAAGAATTACCATGAATGCTAACCTTCATGCTAAAAACAGTAACTAGGCCTACAAATACAGCTATATGATTGCTACTGTCAATCTTGTCAGTATATATCTTCATTTCTACATGCATATCATTTTCATGATAAAAATTGTAGAAAATCTTATATTAATAATAAAAAATTGGTAAATTTGTAGTCTACCTAAAGTTCAAAAAACCAACCACATTACCAAAGCGTGTTGTGACTTGTGAATTGAATGGTAGCATTTAGAAATATTATTATATTATATCTCCAAAAATATATTATTGTTGAAATTAAAGCACCACATATATGACCTTGCTAGAAAGCTTCCCAAGCACTGCATCTAAGACAGTACTAGGTTTTTTTCTTCTTCTTTCGTTACTAGGGTTGAATTTCTAATATATTTTGTTAGAAAATGCTATTGGGTCGGGTATATCACTACTGCAACAAAAGAGATATTTAGTACTAACAGTAGATTATTATTTTTTAGCGCTAATATTTTGAGTTAAAGTTATTACGTCCAGGTCGTTAAATCCTTTAGCGATATTTATAGAGTGATGGTTACAAATATTCATATTATTATTCTTATTTAATATAATATAGCGACAATTATATTATTACTCTTAAACCATTTATTTGTTGTAGTGCATTTATCAAGAAGCTAGTTAGCTCATTAACTTGTACATGTTCTCCCCACCATAAATTTGCAAATTATTTGCCTCTTAGACCTTAGTAGAGGATATTTAGCTTGTGAATATGAGAAAGTTGATTCGTCTTTTGTGAGGATTTTCTACAATCGATAACTCAAAATTGTAACTAATGCAACTAAATCCACCTCCGCTAGGAGAAACACTAGTATTTACTACTACATATCTATTTCGGTTACTTAACATCTTGTTTGGATCATCGTTATATATCATTCTGTAATGTATCATATTATATCGTATTGTATTACATTATAATGTATTATTTTGATAAATATAATGTTTGAATAAATTATTTTATATTTTATTATTACATAATGTCACATATCAATAATCTAAAGGATAAATCTACAAGAAAAGTAGGTGACGGGGTAAAACTATAATAAATAAAAATAAGCTAAAAAATAAAATGAAGAATTATTAGATAATAACCAATGATAAAATGAGGCTAAAAAAGAAAGATAATGATACGATAACACCAAATCAACGGCTATGTTTAAGTGTTACATAACAATAAATTTGACGTTATGGTACAATAATTTTTAAATAACAAACAATATATTTAAAGTTTAAACTAACAATACAATACAAACCATCCAAAATAATCGATCATAAAAGGATGATTCCTTAAAAAACACAAGATTTTGGAATAATATGCTTCACAATGAATCTTCAAAAATGGAAAATACCAAAATCAAATAATATGGTGTACTTGTAATTATTATCAGCAAAAAGGAGATGCCAATATCTTTATATACAATCAGATAATTTATAAGGTAATTAATTACACATATATATTAATTTGTATCCTATTGAAAAGGGTAAATTAATACATATAAATTATTAGATGTTACAATATATATATATAAAGGTAGTAATCCAATTAATTACTAGTGATGAATTTTATTTCTCACCTTTAATATAAATGAAGTTCATTCTTGATGATCATTTTTTCTTAATTTCTTGATATTCTCTTCCAAATCTTCAAAGTCAACATGGAGAGTTGGATGTATGTTTGGTGAATCTGAAAATTTTCTTTTGATACTTTTTTTGGGTGCAGAAGGGCACGTTGTCATCACTTGGATTTTGTGATCCGAAGAAGTTGGAGTCGTAAATCCACCATCGTCATCGTTGCGATCATCATTTCTTGATTTGTGTGTGTCATTATCTTTGCACAACATCTGTGTTGATCTTCTCTGTATCATTCCAAGTTGTCCCAAACATGAGCTTCCTTCATCTGGATCCTTTGAACAATTTTCTTGAAATAGTATTTCTTTTTCATCATCATGATCTGGATTATTTTCATCTTGGTTTTGGTCAACGGTATCATGTTGACTAGGTGCAATATCCTCTAGTATGCACCTATTTGGAATTTTGGACGTAATAATCTTTTTCTCATCATCTTCTTCTTGTTTTACTTGGAAAAGGTCTGAATTCGACATATCGAAAGAATATTCTATTTTTGAAGAAGGATCGAAAGTAGACCTGATCTGAACAAGCGCGATAATGGAAAAAACGATGCTCAATTAATTAATGAGTGATTTGTCATGAGTTGAGTTATGAGATCAAAACTTGAGTCAAAAGAGGATGAGCTGAGGAAGAGAGGAGGAGAAAAAGAGAGAAATCTGGTTTTTACATTAATAATAAATAAATAGTAAAAGATAAGGAGATATAATATTGGTTGTGGAATAAAAATGCCATCTCAACATTTTTAGTCAACTGGCTAAACATATTTTCACACTCCTAGCAGTAACAATTTGTAGATATTGCTAGTATATCTTTAGTGTATAATGAATATATAATAAATATGTATTAATTATACACGGATCATATATTCATAATATTTGTAAAAATTTAGTACTTATATAATTATTTTTACTGTGAGATTTTTTATTTTTAAAATGGGAATAGGGGTTTGAGAAATGGGGGAGGGATTTACAAAGTGAGGAATCAAACTCTGATCAACAGGGTGCAAGTTCTTGAAGCTAGCCAATCGAGCTACTAAGATTCTCCGGCTCGTTGTGAAATTTGTTAAGCTATTGTTTAGCGTAAATCTCAACATCAAAATCCTCATGTTTACGAAGTATTTTTGAATGACTCTCACTCTGTTCACTTATGACTTTGCATTCCTCTTTAGAAATAATGATTAATATGAGTATTTTACGATAATATTCATGTTGATTGGTGTATAGTCTTCGATTTTGAGAAATGGTTTGGAGAATAAACAATTAATGTTGAGGGTAAAACAGAAAAAAAATATTTTTTTCTTGATGTGTTAAAAGTGATAAGTAAAAGTAGAAATTTATTTTTGGAATATTGAACAACTAAAAATGAAAATTTATTTTTGAAACACTAGACAAGTAAAAGTGAATGGAGAGAGTATTTCTTTTCATTTTTTGAGCTCAAAGGGATTTTGAATGTGATTGCGTACTCCCTCCGTCTCAAATTATTTGTCATGATTTTCATTTACATGCTCCTTTAAAAAATATTAATTAGGAGAATTTTTTGACTAGTTTATTCTCATTTATGTATTAAGATACGGTTTCTCTTCATCCATTTATTTATTGAGGTGTTTGTAATCTTCAAGAACAATTACTATTAATGATAAAATGAGAAAAATAAATAATTTTATCTTAAACTTCTAAAATAATAAATAATTTGACATAATTATTTTTAGAAATTATGATAGATAATTTGAGACGAAGAAACCATAAATTTAGCTTATAAGGTGAAAAGGAGGTCAAAGGAGAAAGAAGTCGACAACACGAACGGAGTTAGGGTACCAAAAGGGAGTTCAAATGAACCCCTTTCAAAACTTACACTATATATACATATCAAAATTATTTTTCTTGTGTATATATTGTAGATGTTGAATCGTTTGACTTCTTTCGTATGCTCACTTCTTTATATATGAATCCCACTAATGAAAATTTTGATTTCACCACAGGTCAACAATTAAAAGAAGGAAAAGGTAAAATAGAGTCTCACGATCAACATATATTGTAATGATATATTCTTAATTAAAGATCTCATATTTAAATATTAAAAATGAAATCACCTTTAATATTCTGAGCGTTATTCTCAAAATATTTAATTTTAACGAAAACTCAAATTAATCTAGCCACAAAGTGGCCGGACATTCACTATGTGGAAAACAAAAGAAAGGTAGAGCGCCCTTGGCGATCGATCCAATGCACACAAATTCGTTAATATTTTACATTTCATTTTTATGTGTCTTTGTCAGAGCACATAGAATTAGAATATAGTAAGTGCAAATACTGACGTCATGTTTATAGTATGTTAGAACTTGGTAATTTGTAGAAGCAACAAGGCACGTGTGCTCATCTTAGTTTTCAACTGCTCATGACTTTTTAACAACTACTACTAATTCCTTATATAAATTAATGCTCTTTTGTGCATGATCATATCTTAACCAATTTTTAGCATCCAAGGTTTATATCATGCTAATATTCTTGGTATATAATGGTTGAAATTTAAAGTCAAAGACTTTTTGTTGGGTTTTTTTTCTTCATTTACTTCATGATTAGGAAGATCTCATTTTCTATCTTTACTTAAATTGTTCTCTGTTGGACTTGTGAAGAGTTGGTGAAAATGAGTGGTCTTGTACTTATAGGAAATGAATTTGAAGGTAAAATTGGTTGATTTATCTCACCTACGAGCAAGATATATGTTGAGGCCTAATTCAAATATTATTTTTTAAAATAAAAAAAAAACTAGTCTAACACATCTTTGATTATTGTAACTCACCGTTACTTCTCTCTTCTGTTATTTTTTGGACAACTTGTTTTTACAAATTTTCAAACTTTCAACTAGAAGTGTATGTATTTAAAAGTGTTGTTATGGAGAGCGACTTGGTCGCAACGATTTGCATCCTAACCGGATTAAAATGTCGTTCAAGACAATCAACATGTATTACCGATATTATTATTGTTTTATTTCTATTAAGTTTCAATAATGTAGTAATTTTCCAACAAATAGATGTGTGAGTTGTATTTGTATAGAGACTTTTAATACCTATCTCATCAAACTACTTTAACTAAAGTAAATTCATGACATGACCCTTACACGTGTCTTTTAAACTTAGTTTCAAAAGATATGTATGCTCTCCAACTTTGAGTGTCACAAGTAGATTATTTAACTTGTAAAAAATTAAACAAATAAACACATGTATCATACGTACTACGTAGCGTCCTACATGACAATTTATGTTCTACATCTATTATGTCATGTAGTGTCTATTTGTTCAATTTTATACAAATTTCAGTGTCTACTTATGCATACCCAAAGTTGAAGAGCATAAATATCAACCGAAGTATAGTTAAGGGCATATTTATGTATTATATGCCTCTTTTTTTTATTCACCATCAAACAGGCAGCAATACTTTGTCTCTCTTGATTCATTTCTCCAACTAAACTCAATTGTGCAAGTTTTCCTTCTGATAGGACAATGCCTGTTTCCTATTGGGCCATGAATGTCCAATGGGCCTATTCTGTGAAAACCTGTAGGTCTATCCTGTTCTGAGGCCCAATTTTTGCCACCCCATGGATCGGAGTGATGAGAATCCGGCCCCAAAACGGACACTTTTTGGATGCTACAGACCAAAAAGGACTCTCCCTAAAAACACAGCCCAAAACACACTTTGCCCATTTGTGGGTAAACTGTGATAAACAAAGTTAACTTTCGATTAGTTCACCCCAACACTCAAAAAATATTTACAAATTTTTTAAAGAATCTAATTCTCATCAACTCAAAGAATCTAAAACGTGTCATGTCTGTCAGCAGTATGATATTCTCAATGTACAATGAGCGGATTTACATTTCACATGAAGAAGCCTATCAAGTAGATTCTATGGTTCGAAGTTCGAACTGCCAAACTCCACTAAATATATAAAGATAGCAATTCATTGATTTTAAAACTTAGAATAAATGGACTATAAAAGTCTCCTGAAGCAACAAAGAAAAAAATGATCGCAAGCAACTTATCGAGGTTGAGAGAGATCCAACACAAGTAAAACTTCTAGCTGTAGCATCCAATGAGCTAACTGTAACTGAAAGCTTGGTAATATCTACTTTCTATTCTTCGTAAGCACTCTTTCCTCAGAGGTGAATCTGCAAATATGGCTCGAATGAAGTCTTCAACCTGAAAAACCAGATAGCTAATAAATATGGCATAATTATTCAAGCCCAAGAAGAAGAGGTTTCATCAAGGTAAAGCATTCCAATGGAAAATAAATGGTTGTCGACTCTGGTTGCCAGCAACCAGAAACCTATGATGCTTCAAATGAGACACTATTTTAAGTCAGTTTGGTAATAAATTACAGGCTGCATTAGTAAAAAAATTCTTCTTTTTTAGGATGTTCTGTTATAGATCCTCCTTCTATACGTGAAACACAGCATATTACAACCCAACCAATTATGAGATCCTGGTACTAGTTTAATTGATGTTTGATTTTTCTTTATGCATACCTCTGATTGCTTAAAACCATGGTTGGCAAGTTCATCAGTTTCCCAAGCTGCAGTAATAGATTTCAATGGCATATCCAGGAGATCTTTTGACAATGACCAGCAGAAAGAAGAAAAGTTAGGTTGAGAATCATTTCATTCTGGAATAAGCACTTCCTATAATAAGAATACCTGCTAGCTTGCGTAATTTCCGGAGGGATGGTATAAGATCATCAAGAGTTTGCGCAGGAGATTCCTGCAACTTTCCTGTCTGGTTAATAGCCAATACAGAGTCCAAGAAAGAAGACAGATTCTCGAATAGCAGATGAATCAGCCTTTGGAGCTGTAAACAAACAAATCAGCCTATAAGGTCAAGGAACTGTAAGAAACTATGTGCTACTTCAATTCGATCTGGTAAATCATTCTTCTTCACACAATTTGATGGCTTAATACAGCAGAGTCTGAAGCTGTCTGGTCAAGTAACAGAAAAAGGTTTTGGTCCTCACCTGCAATGTTTCTTCTGCAGCAATATCATCTAGGAGGAGGATATCATTTGCTATTCTAGAAAAGACTTCCTCCAGGACCATGCTCATACTTCTCTTGTATGCAGAAGGTAGGAGTAAACGGTGCCATATAATATATACTTTCTCAAGTATGAAAATCACCTGCAGAGAAATGCTTAGGTCCTATAGTAAGGATTGAATATTTGTAGGAAAAACCATTTCCAGTAGGGAAGCACAAATCCCTGAATTGTACCTGGTCAATGCTCAACTTAGCAGATTCATATTGCTTCATTTGATGAGTATTTTGAAATCCATCGGCTCCATCAATGGCCTAGGATCACATGATTGCCAGCAAATATAATCATTGAGATTTTCTGTAAGAAATTATTAGGGACTTGTGTAAACTCTGGGGGGGAATTACCTGTTTTAGGTTGTAAATGACAAGTTTAATTTGTCTTTGTAAAACTTCTTCTGCAAGCATCTGGAATCTTGGAGCCAAATCCGCAAATACAACAAGTTCCTTCATTGATGCTGGAAAGTCTGAGCGGTACTGAAACAATTAACTGTTAGCTTGAGACCTAATATTACACGAAAAGTCAGACAAGGCACCCTAACAAAATCCAGCTTTTA